TATATATATATATATATATATAGAGAGAGAGAGAGAGAGAGAGAGAGAGAGAGAGAGAGAGAGAGAACTTACTATGTGTCAGACACTGTTCAAAGCACTTTTACAAATATTAATTCATTTAATCCTTATAACCACCCCACAAGGAAAGTACTATTACCCCCAATTTTACAAATGAGGACACTGAGACACAGAGAGGTAAAGTAACTTACTGAATGTCTCATAGTTAACAAGTGGTAAGGTTGGATTTGAGTCCGGGGAAACCTGGCACTATAACATTAAGTTAAAATTCTGGCCTGGGCAAGGTAACCAGAGCTTTGGCAGGCTGAGGTGGGAGGATCACTTGAGGCCAGGAGTTTGAGACTAGCCTGGGCAACAAAGCAAGACCCAATCTCTACAAAAAATTTAAAACATTAGCCAGGCACGTAGTCCTGTAGTCGTAGCTACTCCAAAGCTGAGGCGGGAAGGGTTCCTTGGCCCCAGGCAGTCGAGGCTACAGGGCAACTATGATCATGACACTGTAATCCAGTTTGGGCAATAAAGCAAGCCTCTGTCTCCAATAAATAAATAAATAAATAAAATGTTATTCTGTTTTGTTTTTTACAAAGAACTGTAGACTCACTAAATTGATTTCACAACTCACTACTGGGCCAGAACCTGTTGTTTAACACAGTCTTGATGTAAGTTCTGCAAGAGTGGAAGCCATTTTATCTATAGCATCCTTGCCCTGCCAGACACAAAGTAGGCTTTCAATAAACAGTTGATAAAAGAGCCTGGCACAGAACAATACAGTCTTAAAGCTGGGGGACACCTGAGAAATTATCTACTTGAAAGCATTACTCTTATCTAGTTGATTTACATCATGTCATTTACCCCAACAGTCAGTAGCATTGGTGACAGTAGAATACAGGGTTTGTTTATTTTTCTTCTTTACATTTTCTCATGCATTAATTTATTTATGAATTCAAAAACATTTCAGCATTTACAAGTCTCAAGTTAAAATATGTAAGATAAAAGGCAAGTTGCAGAAGAGTATGAAATGTATAGTCTCATATTATGAACAATGCTACTTAGTATATAGTAAATCTGGAGCAATGGACACCAAATTATTTATCTGAAGAGGATGGGCGTACTTATGTTTTATATTTCTTAATTATGTGATTTGTTTACAAAGAAAATGCATTGCCCTAACCGGCATAAAATCGCAAATCGCAATAGATATTATTGAAACCTGTGTGTGTGTGTGTCAGTCAGGGTCTCACTCTGCCGCCCAGGCTGGAGTGCAGTGGTATGAACACAGCTCACCAGCACAGCCTCGACAATCTGAGCTCAGGGGATCCTTCCACCTCAGCCTTGGAGTAGCTGGAATTGTAGGCGGGCGCCACCATGCCTGGCTCATTTTTAAATTTTTTTATAGAGAGGTCTTTCTATGTTGCCCAGACTGATCTCGAACTCAAGAGCTCAAGCAATCCTGGCTCCTCAGCTTCCCAAAGTGCTGGGATTAGAAGCATGAGCCACCGCGCCTGGCTTGAAATCTTTTTAACTCTTCTTTTACCTGCAGTATTTGACTGTGTCATTCATTTTCATATCTTACTCAGTTAAACGTCAGGCTCAAAGTGAACACTGAATAAATGTGCATGAGCGAAATAATTCTTTTTTATCAGAATTTAGGTTGATAATTTTCAGGGCAAATCCAAACAGTGCACACTTGTCATTCTGTAAATAAGGTTTCAAATCACAGCGACACCGGTGGGCATGATTTGGCTTTTTTCAGTGCAATTCACATCCTACCAGGTGAAGTGTCGAGTTCACCTATCACGGTCACCTCGCATTTCGCGCCAGGCTTCAAACTCGGGACCCTCAAGACTCCAGGCCCAGCTAAGGAGTCGAAAGGGATATGCGTCTGCCCCGCCTCACGCATGCGTCCTAGTCCCGCAGAGCCGGGCGCTCAGAGCCCAGCTCCCAGCGTACCCAGCTTACTCTTTCCAGTCCCGCAATTCACCTGCCCCACACTACCGATTCGGCTTTGCCTGGAGGCGGAAGTGAGTGGGAGGGGCAGGTTCACGGGCCGCCCCGGAAGTGGGCGGAGCACCAGCAGCCCTACATTTGTCGCGTCGCCTCCCAGTCGGGTTGCGGCTGAGGCCGGTCCTGGCTTTGTAGCTCGCTCAAGATGGCGTCGCAGCCACCCAGCGGGATCCGCCTCAGCGCGGTGAGCAGCCGCGAGGGGTGGAGCGGGCCGTGTCCCAGGAGGGCGGGCAGGCGGGCAAGTGAGGGGGGGCCGGCAGTGGGCGGTGGCGACTCGTGAACCCGGCGCGGCGGCGGGGGCCGCGGTGGACCCCAAGAAAGGGGCCGCCATGTCGCTCCCGTCGGCGGAGCGATTCGGCTGCAGGCAGGGCTGGGGCGGCGCGGGCTGGGCTGCGTCCCGTCGCCTCCGCATTGTGTTTCCCTTTCGCTCCGATGGCCTCGGGGCGGGCCGGGGCGGCGCGGCCCCTCCTCCCCGGCTCCCTCGCTGCCTCGCAGCTGTCGTCAGAGCGCGAGGCCTCGGCGGTCGACCCGCCTGCTCCCCGGGCCGGGGGGCCCCGACCCTCTTCTGCCTTCGGGGCGCCCGGAGGGGGGGGGAGCGGCAGTCTGCGTCCAGAAGTCCGGCGGCCTTGACCTCCTGGCAGCGGTACGGGGCTCCGGGGCTGCCCGGGCGTGAACCGAGCCGGGATGAGTCTTCCCACTGCGTTTCGGTTCCTCCCGCTTCCCTAGCATGGAAGTTCCCGGGCTCGGATCACTAGATCCTCACGCTCTCCTCGTTCCCTTTCGTTTCGGGGCTTTTCGAGTTCTTGGAAATCCTTCAAATATTTCGTGTGTCTTAACTCGTAGGGAGCGGTCGCGTAAATAGGACTTAAAATTTCACGTCCTAAAAATGTAGGCGTGGCTTCCTCACCTGATTAGCCTAAGAAAGTTTTATTCCTCGTTAGTTGGTGTTCTTATGCAAAAATCTCTTGAGGTTGTTGGCTAAGAATGGTTACCCTGGTGCCATTAATTTTAACATTCGAATGGCCAGTGGCTGCTGGAGGTTAACACGCCTCCGAGAGTACAAGCCATAAACTTGGTTCTTTCCTCTGCTGCTATTTTCATTCATTTAGCCACGTTTTTCCAAACTGATCCCTGGTTTTAGTTGCATTTCTTTGACTATTTGTTTTGAGCGTTTTTCACATTTATTAGTCTTTTTGGTTGTTTTGCATTGCCTTTTTATGTCTTCCCCTTCTCCCCCTTTTTTTTAACCCACTCTGTTGCCCTTGCTGGAGTGTAGTGTCGCATTACAGCTTATTGTAGCCTCGAACTCCTAGGCTCAAGCGATTCTCCCTCCCCAGACTCCTAAGTAGCTGGGACTGCAGGCGCAATTTTTAAATTTTTTGTAGAGACGGGATCTCTGTGTTGCCCACGCTGGTCTTGAACTGTCCTCAAGCGATCCTCCCAAAGTGCTGGAATTGCAGCCGTGAGCCACCATGCCTGGCCCGTTTTCTTTTGGTAGAATCTTTGATTTGTAAGAATTCTTTGCATATTATGCATTATTGAACGAGATAGTCTTTAGTAGTTTGCATATAGAGAGCAACTTTATTCTCTTTTATAAGTGGGTTTAAACATTATTTGTTAATTATTACCCATCTCTGTGAACGGGGGTGACTAACCACTTTCCAGTTAGCCTAAGGTATTGTAAGGTTTGGCTTCATCTAGTTTAAAATCTCGTGGTTTTTTTTTTATGGTCCCATCCTTCCCCACGTCCTTCCCCTCCCAGCTTGAGTCTAGTTCAGGCTTAGAAACATGTAGTAGAGAGTTGATTTCTTTACTGTTTCTCCCTTTCCCACCCCTTCCCATGAAAGTGAGCAGAGACGAGGGTCAAATAGTCTTGAGAGATCGGTATTGTTAGCTAGATCTCTGGGTATAGAAACTGAGCATGTGCTAGGACTTTCTTTGTGGGTAATATGGGCTGCTGGAAACCTCATTGACAGAAATCTCCCATCTGCAGCCTCTCTGCTTTTGCTTTAGCACTGGAATTGGCAGACTACAGCTCATGGGCCAAATCCAGCCCAGCACCTGTTTTTGTATGGCCTGCAAGCTAAGAGTGATTTATACATTTGTAAATGGTTGAGTGAAAAATTAAAGAAGATTGTTTCATGACATACGAAAATTATGTGAAATACAAATTTTAGTTCCTATAAAATTGTATTGGAATATAGCCTTATGAATTTATTTGCTTATAGCTCTCAAATGCTTGCATTAGTAGAAGTATAAAAATTAATGAATTTGTCATTTGTCAAAAGGCAAAAGGAGTCAGCCTTAATGTATGCATATTTTAAAAAATCATTTAAATGCACATTTGCCATTTTTTTGCTGATTTCCCCCCCCAGAAATCCTGCTGTAGATTTAGCCAACAAGCATTCTTTTCACCACTTCCTATACTTCTAATATTTTTTTCTTTTAGTCCAAGTCTCATTCTGTGGTCCAGGCTTGAGTACAGTAGCACGCCCATGGCCACTGCAGCCTCAGCCTGCTGGGTTCAGGCAGTCTTTTCACTTCAACCTTTCAAGTAGCTGGAACTGCAGGCATGCTCCGTGCTAATTTTTTTATTTATTGTAGAGATGAGGTCTTGCCAAGTTGCCCAGGCTGGTCTTGAACCTGTGGGCTCAGGCAAACCTTTTGCCTCTGCCTCCCAAAGTGCTGGGATTACAGGCATGAGCCACCGTGCCTGGCTTCCAATGCTTTTATCACTTTTTTTTGGTTGAACTACTATGTATGGTTTGTTACTATTGTTACCTTTATTCATAAATGAATCAACCTGTGTACTATGATTGTATTTTCTTTCCTGTACTACTTTTGTTTTCCCTGAAGTTAATTGGTTCATATTTTATTTGCCTAGTTTTTATGTGTACTGATCAGTAATTCATCTAAACATCCAGAAAACTGGACAATTTTTTCCAGATGTATTCAGACACACCCAGTATTTTGTCAGTTGGGAGTTATTGGCTCAGTTGTGATTTGGAGACTTCCCCTTACTATATTTCTGGAAATTTCCTTTCCCTTTTCATGTGTTCCATTCCATATACTCCTCTTTCTGTATGTACTCCCTAGCAAGCACTATAGCTTAGTGACTGACAGTATGGGCTCTGAAGCCCACCTTCCTGGGTTAATTCCATCTGATGACTGGATGTGTGACCTTGGCCAAGTCCATTTAACTTCTTTGCACCTGAGTTTCTAATCTGAATGGTGGGAATAACAGTCTTACCCACCTCAAAGGATTGTTTTGAAGATTAGATGATCAATATACATAAAGACCCATGCCTTCTGTGGTACTCAATAGTACTCGTTTTGTTACTGCTGATGTTGGAGCTGTCCATCCTTCTAGACAGGTGTGTAGCTTCCTAAGAGAAGGGTACATCGGAAGAAAAAGTTTTATGTCATTTCTTGAAAATGTGTTCATGCTACCCTTGCTCTTTCTTGACTTATAATTTGACTGGATTTGAATTCTAGATTAGAAATTGTTTCTCTCAGAATTTTTTTTTTTTTTTTGAGTTGGATCTCAATCTGTCGCCCAGACTGGAGGGCAGTGGCACGCTCCTGGTCACCCAGTCACCACAGCCTTGACCTGCTGGGCTCCGGCAATCCTTCCGCCCCAGCCTTCCAAGTAGCTGGAACTACAGGAGCGCGCTACCATGCCCCGCTAATTTTTTGATTTATTGTAGAGATGAGGTTTCGCCAAGTTGCCCAGGCGGGTCTCGAACCTGCGGGTTCAGGCAGTCTACTCACCTCAGCCTCCCAAAGCGCAGGATTACAGGCTGAGCCACTGAGCCCAGCTCTCTCAGAATTTTTTAAAGACGTTCTTTATTGTTTAATAGAGTCTGTACATTGTATTGAGCACTTAGCCTGAAAACTCAGGTCCTTAAGATCTGGAAAATGTAATTTGACAGATTCTTCCATCCATTTTCCTGTTCTCTTTTGGTTTCTGTTTTCCTTCTCATTTTTCCTCCCTTTGAATTTTTTTCTTTCATTGTCTACCTTTCTCTTACATATTTTTATTTTTTTATTTTATTTAATTTTTAAAATTTTTTATTTTTTGAATTGGAGTTTCACTTTGTTGTCCAGGCTAGAGTGCAGTGGCACGCTCACAGCCACTGCAACCTTGACCTGCTGGACTCAGGCAATCCTTCCACCTCACCTTCCAAGTAGCTGTAACTATAGGCGCATGCTACCACACCCAGCTAATTTTTTTGGTTTATTGTAGAGATGAGGTCTTGCCAAGTTGCCCTGGTTGGTTTCGAATCCCTGGGCTCAGGCAGTCCTCTGGCCTTGGCCTCCCAAACTGCTGGGATTACAGGCTTGAGCCTCCGTGCCCAGCCCTGTCTAGGGCCATACCACCCTGAATGCGCCCCATCTTGTCTGTTTTTGATTTCTAATTTTAGATCTTCTGAACTGTCTGTAGATGGTTAGCGTTCTCACTTTTTCAAGTGAGACACCTGGGAGCTGACTGGAAGATTTTTGAGCTAGTCCTTTGGTGGTCTTTACTGTTGGGTGATCAGATTGGAAGGAGTTGTTTTGTTGGGCACTCTATGTCAGTATCTGTACACTCCAAAGAATGGGAAGTGTTAGACTATAAAATAAGTATGCTTAAAAAAACTAAAAACTTTAAAAATAATTTTTTAAAAAATGAGGACAACAAAAATATGATAGCTATCCAGAAAGACCAGACAGAATTGTAGATGAACCAACAAATAGAACTTTCAGAAACCACGGTTTTCCAGGGAAGAATTCTGTCTCTAGTCTCTTGCCATGGCATAATCTTGGCTACTAATTCTTGGAACTTGCCATCGAGAAGGGAGCAGGGAGTGTAGCGTTGTGGAGTGTAGCGTTGTTCAGTGTGCTGACTTGCTGTTTGTTAGTTGTTATTTGTTTATTATTATGAAGAATATGTATAATATATAGTTTATCACCCTAACCATTTTAAGTTTCGATTTAATAGTATGACATACTTTCACATTGTTGTGCAACCAGTCTCTAGAACTCTTCCTGTTGCAAAACTAAACCTCTGAGTCTATTAAAGTAAGCAATAACTCCGCAGTCCTCCCTTCCCCAGCACTGACAAACAACTGTTCTACTGTGTCTAGGAATTTGACTAGAGTAGTTCTCCCTTATCCACAGTTTTGCTTTCCTCAGTTTCCATTACATGAGGGCGCTGGTGGTCTAAAACTATTAAATGAAGAAATTGTGGTAATAAACAGTTCATAAGTTTTAAATTGCATGCCCTTCTGTAGCGCCTGGGATTGAATCATCCCCTTGTCCATTGTATCTACACTGTGCATATACCCACCTGCCTGTTAGTCATTTGGTGGCCTCGGTGTTATCAGACTCACTGTCCTGGTGTCATTCTGTTTCATTATTAAGTTATTTATCTTTTGCTGTGCCTTGTTTATACATTGAACTAGTATACATGTAGCCAACAACTATTTGTACACCTTAAAGCTATTCAAATTTAAAAAGGCAAAAAATAGTGAACTTTATTACAAGTATGTATGTATGTGTAGGAAAAAACATAGTGTATATTCTATAGGTATTGGTACTATCTGAGGTTTCAGACATCCACTGGGGGGGGGTCTTGGAATGTATCCCCTGAGGGCAAAGGAGGACTACTACACTGTACTCTTATTGGTGGAATCATACAGTGTTTCACTTATTGTGATTCTTATTTCACTTACTATAATGTCTTCCAGGTTTATCCATGTTGTGAAATGTGTCAGAATTTCCTTGCTTAAGGCTTGTATTTCATTATATGTCCAAAGGCAAAATTCCAACAAATTTAAATATCTTAATTAATTAGCTTTATTTCCAATTCTAAAATTGGGTAACACTTCTTCCATAAAATATATGAAAGTGCTTCTGGAAGCCCAGCAGAGGAAATTGGTTTTATAGTCCAAAGAGTAGAAGAAAGCAGAAACAAAGAACAAAAAGCAGATTGGTCATTTCAAAGTTGAAGAACAATAGAAAAAAACCTGATTGGTGAATTTGATATTACTTTTTATTGCAAAACAAAGCTGAAGGAACTGTAAAAAAGAGGGACCTTCATTATGCTGATTGAAGACTGGAACTGGTCTGTTTGGGAAATTAGCTATCTCACCTGTAGGTCAGTTAGTTTCAGTTTTGTGGCTGGATTTTTAGCATGAGTGACAGGATTTTGGTTATTAGTCTGATATTTTGGGGCCTAGTGCAGGAGCTTAGTCCAAAACAGTGGCCTCCTATAATTTTTATTAAACATATGTATGTACCTGTGAAATAAACATATATTTGCTCTTTGTTCTGGAGCTCTTGAAATCCTTGGAATTTCCTGAGTGATAAGACTGAGAGGGGCATCTTTTGTTATTCAAAATAGGCCCCTTTTTACCTTACCTGAATTTATGCTAATAGGACCTTTTTGCTTTAGCATTTACTGGTTTTCTAGAAAGTATATAGATGAAGAGGAGATGCTTAGGGCAAGGTGGGGAAGGGATACACAGCTTTATTCCAAAGTTCCTTAATGAGGTGACTCTCAATGGTCCCCTTTACAGCTTCATAATGGGGGCTGGTTGTCAGAGAACAAACCATGTGATTAGATGGTTAGAACTTGCAGTCTTTTCTCCTCCTTGAACCTCCAGGGAAGGGGAGAGGGGCTGAAGATTGAGGTCAGAAGTTCAGTCCACAGTGGCCATTGATTTAATACACCATGCCTTTATAATGAAACCTTCATAAACTACATGATGGGGATCAGAGAGCGGTGAGGTTGGCCAAACATATCTATAGGGGTAATGAAACTCCAGGCCCCTTCCCCATACTTTTCCCTGTGTGCTTCTCATCTGCCTGTTCATCTTTGTAATATCCTTTACAGTGAAGTAATAAATGTGAGTAAATATTTACTTGAGTTTTGTGAGCATTATAGCAAATTATCAAACATGAGGATGGGACTGTGTGAACCCCAGGTTACAGATCTGTCAGAAGTACAGGAGGCTCTAAGAGTTTATGGTAGTTGACTAATCATTTTCTCCTTGTTTGGTAGCCAGGGGTTTTATACTCCAAGGCCATGCCCCATAGTAAGATTTAGAATGGGGAAGGAGTATGTCATTCTTTTTTGTTTGGTTTTTTTTGAATCGGGGTCTCATTCTGTCACCAGGCTGTAGTGCAGTGGCATGACCGTAGTTCACTGCAGCCTCAAGCTTGTGGACTTGTTGACTCAAGTAGTTCTCCTGTCTCAGCCTCTCAAGTAGCTGGAATTATAGGTGTGTGGCACCATACCTGGTTATTTTATTTTATTTTGTAGAGATGAGGTCTTGCTATGTTGCCTAGGCTGGTCTCGAACTCCTACGCTCAAATAATCCTCCCACCTCAACCTTCCAAAGTACTGTCATTCTTTTATCAGTGTGTGCCATTTTTTTAATCAGTGATGTTTGTCTAAGGGGAGAGGGTGGGACAGGAAGGTCTTCCAGGTGGCTCACCTGCAAGTTCTTAGGTACATTCTTGCAACCCTCAGGAAAAGACTTGTTATGCAAGATGAAAATCTGGAAATTGATTTTTATTAAGGCTTACACCTGTAATCCCAACACTTTGAGAGGCAGAGGTGAGAAGACTGTGGAGACCAGCCTGAACAACTTGGAAACCTTATCTCTACAATAAATCAAAAAAATTAGCTGGGTGTGGTGGTACATACCTGTAGCTCCAGCTACTTGGAAGGCCAAGGCAGAAGGATCGCTTGAGCCCAGCAGGTTGATTGAGGCTGCAGTGGCAGTGATGTACCACTGCGCTTTAGCCATGCTTTAGAAAGTCTAAATTGCCTGTAATCTATACTTCGTGATGTATGCCATATTACTTGATATTTGCCATAGAAAGTCTGAATTGTATATCCACCAGTTTAAAGATAGTCTTCTACAACATCGTTTCTCACATGTGTACTTCAGCCTAATAGTAGATGAAGGCATAGGGATTGACTGAAAAAGCAAGTGTAGACAGGAAAAGTAGACCTTTCTGACACCTTGTGGCAGCAGCTGAGCACTGAAATACAGTTGGCTTAATTTACAATCAAATTGTATTTTTAGAACTTTTAACTCTATGCACTTAAAGTGCCTTGCTTTTATTTCCTCTTAAATATGAATGAATATGTTCAAAATGAACACAAAACATTGCATGGAAATTCTCTAAATGTAATTTTTGAGCATTTGGCCTTTTAAAATCATCTGTACATTTTTATGTGTTTGCTGTCTTAATTAAGAATTTAGACAGTTCCTATAGCATGAGGTGAGTTGGCATATTCATTCATACTGTATTAGTGTGAGTAAAATCAGACATAAAAGCCCTGAAAATTAAGACAGCGTGTTGCATCATATTAAGGAAAAGCCTTAGGCAACTTAAATTTAACAGTACTTAATTGAGCAAAGAATGATTCAATAATTGGGCAGCTCTCAGAACCAGAAGAGGTTCTAAGAACTCTGGTCCAACATGGTCAGGCAGCATTTATGAACAGAAAATAGAAGTGAGATACAGAGACAGGTTATTTAGTTGCAGCTCAGCATTTTGCCTTATTTGAATCAGTTACCTGCCTATGATTGAAGATCAGCTGCTGTAATTGACAGACAGCTATTTGTAACTGGAGTATGCCTGTACAGAACTCCTAAGTTAGGCTTTTAGTTAATTTTCCTACTAAGTTAGGTTGTAGTTTCTTATATTAGGACTGGAGTATGGAGGCATCCTCAGGCTCAATTTAGCTTAATTTAGCAATTGGAACTATCTGATTTTTTTTTGAAGAATTATAGATGTATACTACTCCACTGTCACAGGTTTTACTGTAATGAACTTGGAGTAAATAATATAATTGAATCAAAGTGTCAAACCCCCAGAAAAGTCTGTTGGTCAAGCAAAGCTAAGTTTATTAGGCCTAATATACTAGGGAGAAAACACCTCCTTCACAAAGCCTTAGTAGTGTCCCAAAGTAGGGAGATTAGGAAATGATGTTTAGAGGATTTTAGGGCCTTGGCTGAGTCATTTTAAGGCAGGTCTTGCAAGGCAGGTAACTAGGATTGGACAGTTACAATATTGTGGACACAAGAAGGCAAGGGTTTTGGAACAAGTCTTGATGAGTAAACTGTTGAGTTGATTCCCAGCCTTACCTTCCAGGAATCTTATGTTCTTGTCTGTATCTTTCAGATGTATCCTAGAGCAAGCAGCTGAGTCATTTTTGCTTGGTCTCAATGTTGTTTAATACAGGGACAAAAAAATTACATTGCTGTCTATTCTCAAAGTAAGATCTGAATTACTTTACACAAATCATTTTTTTGTTTCAGCTTTGCCCAAAGTTTTTACATACAAATTCTACCAGTCACACTTGGCCATTCAGTGCAGTTGCTGAATTAATAGGTATGTAAACGGACATTTCTTATACTATTTGTTGCTTGCAATTGTAGTTTTAAAAACTTTACTGAAGAATAATAAACAGATGTTCTTAAAAGTAATTTTATGTCTTGAGTGATAACATTAGTGACAAACATTACCTAGCATAACAACTGTTCATTCAGATGGATGTCAAATTAATCATGGCTCAACCTTTCCTATGATAATATTCAAGTATTTGATCATGTCTAGGATTTAATTTGCTGCATTCACAAAACATTTCTATCGAAAATATTTTTATTCTGATTATAAAAGTAAAAAATGAGAATTATGGTTTGTTTTTGTTTGTTTCTGATACGGGGTCACAGAATCTTAAGTGATCCTCCCAAGAAGCTGGTGCACAGTAGGCACCTGGTGGAATTATGCTTTTTTGATAGTGCAGAAGTATATGCAGCATTCAGAGTGAATTCATTTTTTTGGTATCAGTAGGAGGATTAATTTTATGTTAGATTATGATAATGCTTATTCCAGTAGATGGAATGATCTAGGTTTAAGATTGTATTTTAATGGTTTTTAAATAAACATGAGAAAAGAGGCAATTTTGCAGTTAGATTTGCATTATGGGTCATGTTTTTTCCCCTGGGAAAATTCATAGACAGGATTTTTTTTTAAATTTAGGCATATTTAAGAAATTGATAATAAAGGGAAATTTTATTTTTAAGATTTTTTTTTGAGTCAGAGTCTCACTCTGTCACCCAGACTGGAGTGTAGTGGCACAATCACAGCTCGCCCTAGCATCCAGCTACTGGGCTGAAGGGATCTACAACCCTCATCCTCCTGAGTAGCTGGGACTACAGGTGTGCACCACCACACCTGGGTAATTTTTAAATTTTTTGTCTCACTGTGTTGCCCAGGCTGGTCTCAAACTCATGAGTTCAAATGATCTTCTTGCCTTGGCCTCCCAAAGTGCTGGGATTACAGGCAGGAGCCACTGTACCTGACCCTATTCTTAGGAATTCTTAGATATACTTTAGATTCTTTTTTTTTTTTTGAGTTGGAGTCTCACTCTGTCGCCCAGACTGGAGTGCAGTGGCCACCCCCGGCCACCGCAGCCTCGACCCGCTGGGCTCCGGCGATCCTTCCGCCTCAGCCTTCCGAGTAACCGGAATTACAGGCGCGTGCTACCACTACCGGCTGATTTTTTTGATTTATTGTAAAGATGAGGTCTCGCCAAGTTGCCCAGGTGGGTCTCGAACTCGCGGGCTCAGGCAGTCCACTCACTTCAGCCTCCCAAAGGCGCGGGATTACAGGCTGAGCCACCGAGCCCGGCTAGATTCTTTTTTTTTTTTGAGTTGGAGTCTCACTCTGTCGCCCTGGCTGGAGTGCAGTGGCATATTCACGGCCACCCCAGCATCGACCTGCTGGGCTCCAGTGATCATTCCACCTCAGCCTTCCGAGTAGCTGGAACTACAGATGTGCGCTACCACGCCTGGCTTTATACTTTAGATTCTTTATCATGGAAGCCTTCTGTCTTAGATGTGCAAGAAAAAGAAGGAACTTTTGAGGTTGCTTTTTCTTTTCTTTGGTATAGCTAGATTTTTCAGTGCATCTCAGCTAACATGCTATTCAGGTGTGTGTGTGTTTGTGGGTGTGTGGGTTTTTGTGGAAGGGCATGCATGCGTGTGCATGCATGCACACCAGGATCTCGTGTCACCCAGGCTGGAGTGCAGTGAAACTGTCACAGTTCACTGCAGCTTCAGCCTCCTGTGCTCAGGCAGTCATTCTGCCTCAGCCTTCTGAGTTGCTGGGGCCATAACCACCATGTCTGACTATTTTTAATTTTTTTGTAGAGATGAGGTCTCCTATGTTGCCAAGTCTGGTCTCAGACTCCTAGGTTCAGGCGGTTGGCCTCCCAAGGTGCTGAGGCGTGAGTCACACGACCTCAGGTGTTTTTTAAAACCCCAGAGTGAACTGGGCTCTCTGGCTCAGCCTGTAATCCTGTGCCTTTGGGAGGCTGAGGTGAGTGGATTGCCTGAGCGCGCGGGTTCAACACCCGCCTGGGCAGGCGAGACCTCATCTCTACAATAAATTTAAAAAATAGCGGGGTGTGGTAGCGCGCGCCTGTAATTCCGGCTATTCGGAAGGCTGAGACGGAAGGATCGCCGGAGCCCAGCAGGTTGAGGCTGCAGTGGCCGGTAGCGGCCACTGCACTCCAGTCTGGGCGACAGTGAGACTCCAACTCAAAAAAAAACCAAAAAACCCAGAGTGGATCTACTATAACATTGCAGCTATTCATGGGTGTTATTTTTTTGGCAACCTAGCAGAGCTACCCATGATTTTCATGTTGCCCTTTGTGGCGTGTCAAATGTTTTTTACAAAACACCATCTTTCCTGAAATGGTTGAAAAGGAGGTTATTTAATTGTAGGCTGCCTTATGGAAGAGGGATGGCTTGAAAACCATATTTTATAATTGTCACAGCCCGACAGGGTTCTTTATGCCCACTGTGCAGAAAAGCCAGTACACTGAGACAGCAGTTGTTGCCACAGAGAAAGACTTTAATAATCGCAGGGCAGCCAAGTGGGAGACAGGATATATTTCTCAAATCTGCCTCCTGATAATTTTTAGGATAGAATTTTTGTTTTTGTTTTTATTTTTTTTGAGTTGGAGTCTCACTCTGTCGCCCAGACTGGAGTGCAGTGGCCGCTCCCAGCCACCGCAGCCTCTACCTACTGGGCTCCGGTGATCCTTCCGCCTCAACCTTCCAAGTAGCTGGAACTACAGGCGCACACTACCATGCCCAGCTAATTTTTTGATTTATTGTAGAGATGAGGTCTCGCCAAATTGCCCAGGCAGGTCTCAAACCCGCGGGCTCAGGCAATCCACTCACCTCAGCCTCCCAAAGCACAGGATTACAGGCTGAGCCACCGAGCCCAGCAGGATAGAATTTTTAAGGATAATTTAGACATTGGGAGCTAGGGAATGGACATTGCTGGTTGGCTGGGGGTGAAGTCATAGAGGTGTTGAAACTGCCTTCATGTGGGGAGTTAGCTTCTGGGTGAGGGGTCACAGGGCCAGTCAAGTCAGTTCCTTGGTATGGGTCAGAGATCCAGGTGGCATCCATTGGTCCGCAGTTTGAAAAATATCTCAAATACCAGTCTTAGGCTTTACAATATTGCTGTTATCTATAGCACAAATCTTGTAATCACCAGCTACGCACACTTGAGCATTAGGCACTTATTGAGAAGGATTCTAGGGAACAATGGCTGCATATACCTTTGCAACAGAAAGATATGTAGGAGGGGAGATCTGCATATCAAAACTGATCAAACTGCAGGAGCTGTGCATGACCTAAGGATCATTATTTTAAAGAAAGTAGTCAAACTTGGGCCTGTGATCCCAGCTCTTTGGGAGGCCAAGGCAGGAATATTTGCTTGAGGCCAAGAGTTGGAGACAAACTTGGGCAACATAGCAAGACATCATCTCTAAAAAATAAAAATAAAACATAACTTGGCTTGGTGGCATAGGCCTATAGTCTCAGGTACTTGGGCAGCAGAGATGAGAGGATCCTTTGAGCCCAGGAGTTTGAGGCTGCAGTGAGCCATGATTGCACCACTGTACGCTAGCCTGGGTTACAGAGTGAGACCCACTTTCTGAAAATGAAAAGAAGTTCATCAATCTCTTTTTTTTTTTTGAGTCAGAGTCTCACTCTGTTGCCCAGGCTGGAGTGCAATGGCACGTTCACGGCCACTCCAGCGTTACCCTGCTGACTCCTTCTGCCTCAGTATTCTGAGTAGCCGGAGCTACAGGCATGCACTACCACACCCAGCTAATTTTTTGATGCATAAGAGATGAGCTCTCACCAGGTTGCCTAGGCTGGTCTTGAACCCCCGGGCCCATTCAATCCTCTCATCTCAGCCTCCCAAAGTGCTGGGATTACAGACTTGAGCCACTGTGCGTGGCCAAGTTCATCAGTCTTAATGGGCAGCTCCCCCCCAGAGGTCAGGACATAAAGATAATCAGTTATTAATCTGCTCTTTGTTGAAGTGTCTGAGTGCAAGTAATAATGCATGGAGGAAGCAAGCTTAGCAACAGTAGATTTGTAAGCCTTTAACTATGCCTGCAAGTTTGCAGGATTTGGGCCTTTACCATAGCTTTTACCCTATGGTCCCATATTAATTTTATACAGGTGATTTCATAATAAGGACTTCGGATATATCTCAAAAGGCATTTCATTCAGTTAAGGAATTTTTGGATGGCTTTTAGATAGTTCATGAATTGATTTTATTTATTTGTTTGTTAGATGTTTGTAGAGATGTGGCCTTGCTGTGTTGCCTAGGCTAGTCTCGAACTCCTGAGCTCAAGCAGTCCTCTCTCCACGGCCTCCCGAAGTACTGGGATTATAGGCATGAGCCACCACGCTTGGCCCATTAGTTGATTTTAATATTGCTACCATTCAAGTATTTTTATTTTTTGATGTATTTCTTCATACTTAACCTATTTTAAGAGAAATGAGAATGGAGAAGTATACAGAGATAGAGGTGTTAAAAGCCACCACAAACTTTGGCCAAACTGAAAAGAGCCACAGTTTGAAGAAATATGTAGAAACTAAATTTTCCACCTACATATGTAGCTTAGCAGAAAAATGATACTGCCTTCTTATTTACTCAGTAACTATTATGTAGGTTTTGTTGATGCTTAACTCTCAGCTTCCCCATGATAGCCAGGAAATTCTCTCTCTTAATCATCTCTAGTGCAGTGATTTTTCTTGCTTTATACTTCTTCAGTGTAGTTAGGTACCAGTCAGCTCTCCGTTTAAATGAAGGACTTTGAAAAGTGTTAATTCTGTAGTAGCCAACTAATATATAGCAGGATGCAGTTTAAGTTTATGTTTTCAAATCTTAGGAGTTCTTACAAATCACATCTTTTAAGATTGTCTTAAAATGCGGTATTCTATTACCTGTTACAAGGTTGGTCTAAAATAATTGCTCTTCTTTAAAATGCAAAATCAGAATTTCTCAAAATTTTGTTTTCCAGATAATGCTTACGATCCTGATGTGAATGCTAAACAGATATGGATTGACAAAACAGTGATAAATGACCATATATGCTTGACATTCACTGATAATGGGAATGGTATGACTTCAGATAAATTACATAAAATGCTAAGGTATGTGAAGATGTGCCACACTTTTTACAATCACTGCTTTTAGTTGAAAGATATCTTGTGTCATACTTATTATCCTTTGTTTTGCTTTTTAAACATGAATGCTATATGCACATTGTCAGCTAGACTTTAAAAGTCTTCTCATCATTTTCTGCTACTGGTAGATTATTAGGCAGTCCTCACCATTCTCATTGCTACCCCATGTCTGACTTACCAGAAGTTCCACCATTCCTTTGGAGTTGTAGTACATTGATATGAGTTACTTACAGTTTAGCTTTAGCTAATATTTTTAATAAAACTTATCGCTTTGGGAGGGAGTAACTTTAAAAGGATTGAGAAAATGAGGAAACAGCATAAAATAGTCATAAGGTCTGGGCTCTTGGGTCACAGAGGAGGATGTAAGGATGTGCAAATGTGCCTGTATGGAAACTGAGAGAAACTATAGTACAGATACAGGGTAGAGGGAGAATTTTGAAACAGAGGCTCTTCTACTATCTCTTAAATGCTCCTCATACAGGCAAAAAATCAAGTTAATCCCATCATTAATCATAGACTTGATGAGAACCATAGAATCACTCACACTTAGAGGAAGAGATTTATGGGGTGAAATCTCAAGGTCTCAGGAACCCAGATTATAACTCAGCTACTTAGCCAGGGTGTGCCGGGCAATAAGTTCCTGTGATAGTACATGTGATCTTTATGCCCCTGTGATTTATTTATTTATTTTTACTTTAAAATTTAATTTTTTTGAGTTGGAGTCTCACTCTGTCTCCCAGGCTGGAGTACAGTGGCATGCTCATGGCCAATGCAACCTCAACCTGCTGTGCTCAGGTGATCCTTCTGCTTCAGCCTTCCAAGTAGCTGGAACCACAGGCATGTGCCGTTATGCCTGGCTGATTTTTAAAAATTTATTGTAGAGATGAGGTCTTGCCATGTTGCTCAGGCTGTTCTCGGACCCCTGAGCTCAGGCAATCCTGTTGCCTCCACCTCCCAAAGTGCTGGGGTTACAGGCATGAACGACCGTGCCCAGCTGCCCCTGTGATTTAGATGCGATTTCCTTCATTTCAGATATGAGAAAACACACCAAGATAGAGTAAAAGTAATTTGCCCAAAACTGTACAGCTAGGAAGGGTGAGGCTAGCATTTGAACCCAGGCTCTTTACTTCATATTGTACTTTTTGAATTAAAACACACACACACACACACACACACACACACACACACACACACACACACACACACACACGTATTCATTTTTTAAAAATCTTTCTTTCTTTTTAGCTTTGGCTTCAGTGACAAAGTCACCATGAATGGTCATGTCCCGGTTGGATTATATGGGAATGGCTTCAAGTCAGGCTCTATGCGTTTGGGTAAAGATGCAATTGTTTTTACCAAAAATGGAGAAAGCATGAGTGTGGGCTTCTTGTCTCAGACCTACTTGGAAGTCATAGAAGCTGAGCATGTTGTTGTCCCAATAGTGGCATTCAACAAGCACCATATCCTTTTGGTTGTGAAATAGAAACTGTGGAGAAACTGAAGAAATATTCTGAAACATTTTATGTATTTGTTTGTTTGTTTTTTGAAAACAGAATTTATTGAGAGGACAGAAAAGTTCCCACAGTGGGAGGGGACCCGAAGGGGTTGCCATTCTGAAACCTTTTGCCTTCCTTCAGATTCTTTTATTTTTTTAATCACGTCTGTTCCAGTTCCCGCCTGTGTCCGCTGCCTTTACACTGGTTCTTGGGCTAAGAGTTTGTCCCTTCCTTTTCTTTGTTGGAATTGTACCTTGGAAGTCCTCAACATTTTATGTAAAACTTCTTTTGTTTAGTTCAGGCTTATTGTAGATTAACAAATATGATTTTGTGATCTGCCTTGAAAGTTTCATTAATGAGCTTGAAAAGCAGGATAACTTTAGCAAAATGCTTTCTGTATAAACACGTTGAAATATAGGAAAGCATTACATCAGCTAAGAATAATAACTCGCCCATTTTTTATTCTTGGTTCGTTTGAAGTTGAACTGCCATTTTAAAACTTAGAAGATAATTTAGGGAATAGTTTTTCTGTTACTTAGGTTTATAGAGTTGGTTTTTATGTTGCAATTGTGAACAATATGTTGGCAATCTAAGTCTTTAACTTAGGATATACGACAGATGATCAATTTAACAGAATCAAAAGCCAGCCTTGCTGCAATTCTGGAACATTCTCTGTTTTCTACGGAACAGAAGTTGCTGGCAGAACTCGATGCTATTATGGGTAAGAAGGGGACGAGGATCATCATTTGGAATCTAAGAAGGTAAATGTAGACCTCAGCTAGATGTTGACCATGTGGGAAATAAATTGCATGTGCTGGATTGGTCTTACTACATTTATCCTTTGTTCCACAGAGTAGAAATAAAAGGAAAAGGATGCATTTTTTGGGGCATAGATAATTATTTGTCTTTTCCAGGGGTATTTTATTAAGGCCACTTTGGCTTTAGTTTGACAAGTTTCCACGTTGTTAAAAAATATTTCCAGCCGGGCTCGGTGGCTCAGCCTGTAATCCCACGCCTTTGGGAGACTGAGGTGAGTGGATTGCCTGAGCCCGTGGGTTCGAGACCTGCCTGGGCAGTGAGACTTCATCTCTACAATAAATCAAAAAATCAGCTGGGCGTGGTAGCGCATGCCTGTAATTCTGGCTACTTGGAAGGCTGAGGCGGAAGGATCGCCGGAGCCCAGCAGGTCGAGGCTGCGGTGGCCGGGAGCGGCTACTGCACTTCAGTCTGGGCAACAGAGTGAGACTCCAACTCAAAAAATATATATATATATATATTTCCTAGGCTGGGCACGGTGGCTCAAGCCTGTAATCCCAGCACTTTGGGAGGCTGAGGTGAGAGGATTGCCTGGCTCATGAGTTCAAGACCACCCTGGGAAACTTGGTGAGACCCCGTCTCTACAATAAATAAAAAAATCAGTCAGGTGTGGTAGCACACGCCTGTAGTTCCAGCTACTTGGAAGGCTGAGGCAGAAGGATGGCCTGAGCCCAACAGGTTGAGGCTGCTGTGTGCACTCTAGCCTGGGTAACAGAGTGAGACTCTGACTCAAAAAAAAAAAATTTCCTATCCCTGCCATTCAGTCTTCATTAGCACTCTGTTCTCTTTCATTTATTCCACCCTTGTTCTCAACAAATTGGGGGAAAAAATGAAAATACAAAAGCCCAGCACTTTGGGAGGCTAAGGCAGGAGGACCACTTGAGCCCAGGAGTTTGAGACCATCCTTGACAACATAGCGAGGCACCCATCTCTAAAATGTAAAAATTATACAGGCGTGATGATGACTCAAGCCTATAGTCCTAGCTACTCAGGTGGCTGAGGTGGGAGGATTGCTTAAGCCCAGGAGTTTAAGATTACAGCGTACTGTGAACTTGCCACTGCATTTCAGCCTAGGTGACAGAACAAGACCCTATCTCTTTAAAAAAAAAAAAAAAAAAAGCGGGAGTGGGAAGGGGTAGAAAAATAATATGGATGAGATTTTTGTGTTGCTGAGATTTCTAGTCTTTTATCTTTGTAAGAACAAACTCCTTTTCAAATAAATGTTTTAAAATTTAGTATTAGTGGCCGGGTGCAATGGCTCATGCCCGTAATCCCAGCACTTTGGAAGGCAAAGACAAGAGGATTGCCTGAATCCAGGTTTTCCAGACTATCCTGGGCAACTTAATGAGATCTTGTCTCTACAATTAAATAAAATAAAAAATTAGCTGAGTGTGGTGGTGCACGCCTATAGTTCCAGCTACTTGGAAGGCTGAGGCAGAACGATCACCTGAGCCCAGTAAGTAGAGATGCTGCTGAAGTAGCCATGAGAATGCCACTGTACTCTAGCCTGAGGGACTAGAGTAGAGTGCAGACTTGAGACTCCGACTCCAAAAAAAAAGAAAAATTGAGATTAATGTCTAGTATTGAAAGATTGAAGACATACTGAACCACAGGAATAAAGCACAAGTAATGGTAAGCCTAAAGAATTTAAAAACTTGTGCTTTTCTGACCTCTTGATTTCCCTTTTTCTTGCTTTCACTTTCCTGTCATTTGTCCTCCTGAAGGATCTTTTAAAATTTTATTTTTTGAGATAATTGCAGATTTATGTGTAGTTATAAGAAATAATAGGCATCTCTTATACACTTTACCTAGTTTTCCCCAATAGTAACTTCTTATAAAACTATGTAAATAATACTATTGATATTGACAGGATTTTGACCTTGATGTTGTCAAGGTGGAGGATACTTTTCATCATTACAAGAATTGTTCCTGTTGCCCTTTTTTTCTTTTGAATTGGAATCTCACTGCCACCTAGGCTGGGGTAAATATAGTGGCATGGTCATCGTGGCCTCGGCTTGCTGGGCTCAGTTGTTGATCCTTCCACCTCAGCCTTCTAAGTAGCTGTAACCACAGGCATGTGTCACCACTCCTAGCTAATTTTTGATTTATTGTAGAGACTAGGTCTCACTATGTTGCTCAGCTAGTCTCAAACTCCTGAGCTCAGGCAGTCCTCTTGCCTCCACCTCCCGCATGTTACCCTTTTATAGCCATACTCACTTCCCTTATACCCACACTCCCTCGTTAATTCCTGGTAGCCTTTAATCTGTTCTCCATTTCTATAATTTTGCCCTTTGAAGAATGTTATATAAATGGAATTTATATAGTGTAAAACTTTTTGGGATAGGCTTTTTCATTTAGCATAATTTTCTAGTTCCTCTTGTATGTATTGGTAATTAACTCCTTTTTCTTGCTGAGTAATACTGCATCATATGTGTAGACCACAGTGTGCCTAACCATTCACTGTTAAAGGACATCTGGGTGTATGGTCTTCAGGTATTACAAATAAAGCCGTAAACATTTGTGTACAGATTTTTGTGGGAATGTAGTCTTCATTATTCTGAACTAAATGCCCAGGAGTGTAATTGCTGTGTCCTATGCTAGTTGCATTTTTAGTTTCTAAGAAACTGCCAGGCTGTTTTTCACAGTGGTTGTACATTTTCCCACCAGCAATGTATGAGGGATAAGGTTTCTCCACATCTTCCTGAATCCCTTTTTTTTCTTCCTCCTTTTTTGTACCTTTCCTCCCATGACTTCCACCAGGTATAGGTTTATTTATTTATGATTTTAACAACTGAAAGTGTTTGCTTCCTTACTTTGCTGTGAAGTTAAATTTTGGTTCTTTCTAAAAATTTACAGCTACAAAAATGCAACAGAGTTTGATTTTGAAAAGGATAAATATGACATCAGAATTCCTGAAGATTTAGATGAGACAACTGGGAAAAAAGGGTATAAGAAGCAAGAAAGGATGGACCAAATTGCCCCTGAAAGTGACTACTCTCTAAGGGTATGTATGTAGCTTTTTGTGCAGAAAAGAAAATCATCAAAAAATGGAAGTTTTACAAGGACTCATGTTACCCTCTTGGGTTATAAAGCCTGCCAGTGATTGCTAAATGAAAATATCTTGGACATGAATCAACTTAGTTAAGCCTTTCTTAGCTTACTAGTTGTTTATGTGCTTGCAATCCTTTTTTTTTTTTTTTTGAGTCAGACTTTCACTCTGTTGACCAGGCTGGAGTGCAGTGGCACACTCACGGCTACCGCAGCCTTGACCTGCTGGGCTCAGGCAATCCTTCCACCTCAGCCTTCCAAGTAGCTAGAACTACAGGCGTGCACTTCCACATCCAGCTAATATATATATATATGTTTTTGTTTTTGTTTTTTTGGTTTATTGTAGAGACAAGATCTCACTAAGTTGCCCAGACTGGTCTCTAATTCCTGAGCTCAGACGGTCCTCTCACTTTGGCCTCCCAGAGTGCTGGGGTTACAGGCATGAGCCACCATGCCTGGTGGAATCCTTTTTTCAATTGTGAGGTCATCAGATCTGATACTGCTTGTAGTTCTTTTATTATGTGCTAAGATTATTTAAATTGTTAATTCGGGAATCAGTATAGTCTGTGATGACCAGACTAATTAATTAAATCAGCCATGAAACACTACATTAAAAGTGTTTTTTCCCTAAATTTTAAAATATTCTAGAATATATACCTGAATTGTCCTCCTAAAGCAATAAATGTGGACTGTAGATAACTTACATATATAAAATTTGTGATAAATACCTCTAAGATTTTGTCTTAGAGATTGATATGTTTTTAAGATTGAAGAAATTAATATCTTGATAGAATAATGTTGATATTAATAAACGTATTTAGTTTCTTAGTCATTTTGGTAAGATGTGTTACTTTCTGTTTTACTTTTTGTGCTAAAATTATTCCATAAACCCAATCTGGCGATTTATTTGAGATTTATAGGTTACCATATAACTTTTTCTGAGGTCTTAACAATTACAGTGACAAATATTTACTATTCCTTAATCTATCCTAATACATTCGTGGGTTTTTTAAAAAAGTTTGAAGATGTGGGGTATAATTCAGGTATACAAATGTGAGGTATACAAATGCTCATTACGCAGGTACCCTTGTTGATGAGGTGTGCCCCTCTTCCCCTGACAGTTTCCCATTACTGCCAATCCTGCGTGCCCTCCCCCTTAGCAGTTTCCAACTACTGCCAATCCCTTTCTTATAGTATTATGATAATTGTTCAAGGTCCGTTTATGAGTGAGAATATGTGGTACTCAGTTCTTTGTTTCTGTGTCAGATCACTCAGTATTATAGACTCGCGAGTTACTATGAAGTTCATAATTTTGTCCTTCTGTATGGCTGTGTAATATTCCATTATTTATATGTACCACATTTTTTTTATCCAGTCCTCTCTCGATGGGCAGCAACAGTTGGTTCCATGTTTTTGCTATTGTGCATAATGCTGCAATAAACATGCATGTGCAGGTATCTTCCTCATAGCTAATATGTTTTTGAGATATGTTCTAGTTGTTAAGAAAATCTTGCTCAAGTTTGAAACAGGTTTAGAGGCAGACCTAGTAAATGCTGTGGTTTTTGTGTACTACAAAATGTATCAATGTTCTTATAAATAACAAAGTACCATTTTTAAAATCAGAAGTCAGGAAAATAGTAAGAAAAAGTTAGAATTTTCCTATTGTGTTGAACCTTTCAACTGTTCTTTTTGTTATTCAGTGCATTTCCTTCAGAGATTTCTTGTAGCTTGGGGACAAGCACTGAAGAGCATATTTTACATGTTTTATGGTGTACAAAGTTTGGTCAAGTGTGTGAAGTGTTTCAACTTTCATCTGTTAAGAAATAGAAGCATATTTCAGGCCGGGTGCAGTGACTCATACCTGTAATCCCAGCACTTTGGGAGGCAGAGGCAAGAGGATTACCTGAGCTCAAGGGTTCAAGACCAGCCTGAGCATCATGGCAAGATCTTGTCTCCACAGTAAATTAAAAAATCAGCGGGTCATGGTGGCACATGCCTATAGTTTCAGATACTTGGAAGGCTAAGGCAGAAGGCTTTCCTGAGCCCAGCAGGTCGAGTCTGTGATGGCCATGATGGCCATGAGCATGCCACTACACTCCAGCCTAGGCGACAGTGAGACTCTGCTCTGACTCAAAAAAAAGAAAAAAGAAATAGAATCATATTTTAATGACTGTTGATTGTTATAGTTCAATTTGGAAAAAACATTATGCTTGCCTACTCTTCTTAGGTTTTTGTGTTTGTTTCTTTTTATTTGTTTGTTTTAGAAACAGCATCTCTCTGTAGCCCCAGTTGGAGTGCAGAGGTACAATCATAGCTCACTGTAGCCTCGAATTCATGGACTCAAGCGATCCTCTCACCTCTGTTTCCCAAGTATCTAGGACCACTGGCATGCACCACTATGCCTGGTTCATGTTTAAATTTGTTGTAGAGATGGGTTCTCACTGTGCTGCCCAGGCTAGTCTTGAACTCCTACGCTCAAGCGATCCTTTCGCCTTGGCCTCCCAAACCATTGGCATGAGGCACCCTGCCTAGCCTGTTTAAGTACTGGTTGGTATATTATTTAGAATCTTTTCTGGCCAGGCTGTTTAGGAGGCTGAGAAGGAAGGATTGTTTTGGCCTATGAGTTGGAGGCTGTGGTGAGCTGTGATTGTGCTACTGCACTCCAGTCTGGGTGACAGAGTGATACCCTAACTCACAAAAAAGAAAAAATTTTCTTTGTCAAGCTTATATAACATTCTCTTGTTTATATTAGATCTTGCTTGTTATTTTTGCCTAGATAAAACTTATTTTATTTTGGCTTTTTTTTTTGTTGTTTGACTTTTTGTTTGTTTTTTTGTTTTGTTTTTGTTTTTTGAGTTGGAGTCTCACTCCGTTACCTAGGCTGGAGTGCAGTGGCATGCTCATAGCCACTTCAGCATCGACCTGCTGGGCTCCAGTGATCCTTCTGCCTCAGCTTTCCAAGTAGCTGGAACTAGCACACCCAGCTAATTTTTTTTTATTGTAGAGACAAGGTCTCATCAAGCTGCCTGGGTTGGTCTTGAACCCCTCAGGCTCAGGCAACAGGCAATCCACTTGCCTCAGCCTCCCAAAGCGCTAGGATTACAGGCTAAGCCACCGAGCCTGACCTTTTTTTTTTTTTTTTTTTTTTTTTTTAATAGAAAGAGTGTATTGCTATGTTATCCAGACTGGTCTTAAACACCTAGTCTCAAGCAATCCTTCTGTCTTGGGCTCCCAAAATTTATGGATTACAGTCATGAGCTGCCACACCAAGCCTATTTTTGCCTTTTTAAATTATAATAGCAATATATGTATTTGAAAGAAAAGTCAGAAAATGTTATTTTTTGTACATATGTAAGTTTTTAAAAACTAAAATGAGATCATGCCGTACATGCTGTTTTATAACCTTTTTTCACTAAATAATTTATTAGTGTCTATAGAGATCTGTAGATTGTATTCTGTCAATCATTTTTACTGGCCATGGTATGTTGAGTTTACTTAAATGAAAAATAATCAAATTAGAATAGCACAGCTTTATAGTCTGTTATTTTAATGAAAAGTTAATGTCTTTTATTAAGACAAGGTGATAGCTTTTTATTTAACCATGTCCAACTAATGTTGAGCAGATCTGTAGAGAATTATCTGGAAAGGACAGATGTTATGTTCTTTTGCAGGCTTACTGCAGTATATTATATCTAAAGCCAAGAATGCAGATCATCTTACGTGGACAGAAAGTGAAGACACAACTAGTTTCGAAGAGTCTTGCTTACATTGAACGTGATGTCTATCGACCCAAGTTTTTAGTATCCTTTTCCTTTTGTATGATTTTGTATAGATATATGTCAGTCAAGTATGTTTTCCTTGTCCCTTTCCTCTTTTATCCTGTTGTGGAATCTAGTCCTCTCCAACTTTACCCTTCCTTACATACTTTTGGACTTAACTAGATACTGACACAGAAAAGATGAGTTGAAGTGAGTGAATGAAGTGTTATGTTCAGAATTTTCCTTAACATTTTAAGACTAAAACAGTGAGAATTACTTTTGGATTCAACTGCAGAAATAAAGATCATTATGGGATAATGATGTATCACAAAAATAGACTCATCAAAGCTTATGAAAAAGTTGGATGTCAGTTAAGGGTAAGTCTTCATATTTGAAAAGAAAATATCAGCTGGGCAAGGTGGCTCACGCCTATAATCCCAGCACTCTGGGAGGTAGAGGCAGGAGGGATTGCCTAAGCCCAGAGATTCAAGACCAGCCTGGGCAACTTGGCTAGACCTTGTCTCTACAACAAATCAAAAAATTAATTGGGCATGGTGGCACATGCCTATAGTTTCAGCTACTTGCACGGCTGAGGTGGAAGGATTACCTGAGCCCAGCAGGTCAAGGCTGCGGTGGCTGTGAGCGTGTCACTGTGCTCCAGCCTGAGTGGCAGAGTGAGACTCCAACACACACAAAAAAGGAAAATGTCTATATTTTACAAAAGTTGGGATAATAAGTGTTATTTTGTCAAATGTAAAGTACTTGAACTGTGCTTTTTGCCTGACTTTGAAATGTCAGTCATTTAAAAATAACAGTGTGGCATTTTAACTTTTTTATTAATTTCTCATTTGATTTTAAATAATCCTTTGCGGGGGAACAGAATATTTTATCTGTATTTTATGGATAAGGAAATTGGGATTAATGAATAGGTTAATCTACTCGCCTACGATCTAACTGTGACTGTGGATATTTTGACTGCTTTTGGATATGGATCCGGTGTTTATTTCTAAGAATCATTGATTATTCTGAAAATCAACTTTGTGTAAAAGTCTTAAGGCTAGGCATAATTTTGTTTTCCAGTCCTCTGGTTTATATTTTCTGTTCACCTTTTTTTATTTTAAATTTAAAAAAAATGTATTTATTTATTTTGAGTCAGAGTGTCACTCTGTTGCCCAGGCTACAGTGTAGTGGCTCAATCATGGCTACCACAATATCAACCTGCTGAGCTCAAGCAATCTTTCTGCCTCAGCCTTCCAAGTAACTGGAAATATAGGCATGTACCACCACCATGCCCAGCTAATTTTTCAGTTTATTGTAGAGATGAGATGTCGCCATGTTCTCAAACTTGAGCTCAGACAATCCTCAAGCTTTGGCCCCCAAAGTGTTGGAATTACAGGTGTGAGCCACTGCGTCTGGCCCATTTTTCATTCTAAATTTTTAATAGAATGATGTGAGCAGTACACAGTATACTGCTGTGGGTTTTATTTTATTTTTTTGGAGTTGGAGTCTCACACTGTCGCCCAGGCTTGAGTGCAGTGGCACGCTCAGGGCCACTGCAGCCTCGACCTGCTGGGCTCAGGTGGTCCTTTTGCCTTAGCCTTCCAAGTAGCTGGAACTACAGGCACACTCCACCACACCCAGCTAATTTTTTGATTTATTGTAGAGATGAGGTCTCGCCGAGTTGTCTGGGCTGGTCTCAAACCCGTGGGCTCAGGTAATCCTTTCACCTTGGCCTACCAAAGTGCTGGGATTGTAGGCGCCAGTCACCACCCCTAGCCTACTGCTGTAGTTTCTCTTGAATACTACTCAACAAGAGTTGTAATACTCTCATTTTACAAGGCATAACCCAGAATGTAGCATTTTGCGGAAGCAAATGAAGTTTGTATCTACTACAGACTATAAATTCTCTTGTCGTTCATGAATCTGACTTAACTAAGATACAAACCCTTTTCCCAATCCAGTTAAATTGGCATTGTGTATAATTTATGTATAAGCTTGCCCTTTTAAAAATAGCTTGTTACGGCAAACTTAATGTTTGTCTTTATCAAATGATGGACTGGATCTAGTATTTACATTCTGTGGATTCAGCAAACATTATATGGGTATCAGATACCTGTTAGAATGTGTCATGCTGGATGTTTAGCAAAAATATTAAAATAAGATACAGAGCATGCTCTTGGAGCTCAATTTGCTGATAGGACTATGAGACATCCTTGGAAGTGTTAGAAAAGGCACCTTAGGGAAAGAGTTGATTGATGAGTCTCGGTTGACTTCACTGTGTTGGGAAGTCTGAAAGGGCTTTCCAGGCAAAGAGAACATCTGCAAAGGAAAGGAAAAGGGCTTCTGAGGGTATGACATGCTTCCGTGTTTCTTCTTTTTTTTTTGAGTCAGGGTCTCATTCTCTTGTTCAGACTGGAATGCAATGGCATGATCATGGCTTATACTGCCTCAACCTCTCCTGGGCTCAGGCAATTCTTCAATCATACCTTCCAAGTAGCCTGGAACTACAGGCGTGTGCCACCTCAACACATAATATTTTTAATTTTTTTTGTGTGGAGATCTTGCTTATTTTGCTCAGGCTGGCCCAAACTCCTCCCAACTCGGCCTCCCAGAGTGCTGGGATTATAGCCATCCGTCACCTTGCCTGACTGGCTGGCTCATGTTGTTTCAAGTGGGGGACAGGAATGAGAGAGAGGCAGGAAGATAAGGCTGCAGAGAAGATGGACAAGAACTACAAATGAGGGGGTCTTGTTATTGCAGTAATTTGCAAATGGTATGAGATGTGGAGCCACTGATGGTTTTTAATAAGCCAGGATTATGATTAGATTTGTATGGTTTAAAGCTGTGTTTATGAAATTTTTCTTTTTATAAGTTACACATTATTAGGCCAGGCTCAGTGGCTCGTGCTTATAATCCTAGCACTCTGGGAGGTCGAGGTAAGAGGATTGCCTGAGCCCATGGATTTGAGACCAACCTGGGCAACTTGGTGAGACCTCATCTCTACAGATATCAGAGAAGTTAGCTGGGCATGGAAGTGTACACCTGTAGTTCCGGCTACTTGGAAGACTGAGGTGTAAGAATCGCCTGAGCCCATTAGGTTGATGCCAGGGTAGCTGTGAGTGTGCCACTACTCTCCAATCTGGGCAACAGAGTGAGACTCTGACTCCAAAAAACAAAAAAGAAAAAAAGAAGCTACAGTCATGGTTAAAATATACCTGTCAATCACATAGATAATCAGAATATGACTCATATATTTAGTGCAGTATTTTAGCTAGCAAGGTTTAAAAAGTCACCAGACCTAGGTTTTTAAAAATTATCATTAGCATCTAGTTATGTAATTTCAGGCAAATAACTCCCAACTTTTATGTAGCCTTTGCTAGGTACTACAGAGTATCAAAAGGAATTATTTGTGGATTCTACTTTTCCTTTTTGAGTTGGCGTCTCATTCTGTCCCCCAGGCTGGAGTGCCATGACACACTCATTGCCACCCCAGCATTGACCTGCTGGGCTCCCGCAATTCTTCCAAAGGAAAAAAAAATTAACCAGACCTGGTGGTGTGTGCTTGCAGACCCAGCTATTCAGGATGCTGAGGCAGAAGGATCACCTGAGCCCAGGAGTTTGAGGCTGTGATGAGCCATTGATCATGCCACTGCACTTCAGCTGGGGCAACAGAGTGAGACTCTGACTGAAAGAAACAAAAATAAATAAATAAAATTGAGGATGATAATTCTCGCCTAAATGGATACTTGTCAACAGTGGAAATGATTTTGGAGGGAGACTCTAATATGTTTAGGTATTAACTCTGGAAAATAAGTCACCTACCAGACAGTATCTTTTCAGTCTGAGTTTCATAAAAATAAAAGAATATTATAAGATAAAGTGTAGAAAAATACCTAGTAAAAAATTGTAAATCTTTAAGGATAGTTATTTTGAGTATCCTGTCTTTGCTTAACCTGCTGATTTCATCTTATTTTTTCAGGCAAACAATATGGGTGTTGGAGTAGTTGGAATTATAGAGTGTAATTTCCTTAAACCGACACATAATAAACAAGATTTCGACTATACTAATGAGTACAGGTATGTTTCCTATTTAAATTATTGGCTGAGATTTTCTAGAAATGGGTTACCAGGAAAGCAAGAACTTACTCTGTCTTATATGAATCTCCGAAATACCTCATTAGTAAACATAGGTTAGAGTATATTACTTGTAATGGAGTAGATTACAATTCCTAAAATGAAATATGGTTAAATTAGTTTCGTTTTTTTTGTTGGTGGTGGTTTGGTTTGTTTTTGTCAGAGTCTCACTTTGTCACCCAGGCTGGAGTACAGTGGCATATAAATGGCCACCGCAGCCATGATCTCCTGGGCTGAGTTGGTCCTTCTGCTTCAACCTTCCAAGTATCTAGAACTACCAGGCCTGGCTAATTTTTTGATGTATTGTAGAGATAGTATCTCGCCATGTTGCTCAAGTTGGTCTCAAATTCCTGAGCTCAGGCAATCCTCTTGTCTCCGCCTCCCAAAATGCTGGGATTATAGGTGTGAGCCAACGAGTCCAGCAAATTAGTTTCCTGTGTAAGCCCCTCACCCATTTTCTTAAAGTTCTATAATATAATTAAATTCCATAATTAAATATAAAAATATTCATGAGATGGCAAAAAATTTAGCTAAGGAAAAGGTATGAAAGTATTTCCAAAGTAAATTTTAAAAAGAAGTCAATTATTTATATATATATCTTTTTTACTTTATTTATATATTTATTTTTGATTTTTTAGTTTAATTTTTGAGTCAGAGTCTTAACTGTTGCCCAGGCTGGAGTGCAGTGGCACACTCATGGCTACCACAACCTCGACCTGTTGGGCTCAACTTCTGCCTCAGCCTTCCAAGTAGTTGGAACTATAGGCATGTGCCATCACAGCCAGCTAGTTTTACTTGATTTTTTATGGAGATGAGATCTCGCCAAGTTGCTAGGCTGGTCTCCCTCCTCGGCTCCCAAAGTACTGAGATTATAGGCTTGAGCCACCATGCCTGGCCTCCTTGTATTTATTAATGTTTCTGAGTCAGAGTCTCACTCTGTCGTGCAGGTTGGAGTGTAGTGACACGATCGTGGCTCACTGTATCCTTGACCTTCTAGGCTAAGGTGATCTACCTCTGCCTTCCAAGTAGCTGGGACTACAGGCATATGTCATCATGCCCAGCTAATTTTTTTATTTTTAAATTTTGTGTGAATATGAAGTCTTGCTACGTTGCCTAGACTGCTTTTGAACTACTGGGCTCAAGTTATCCTTCCGCCTCAGCCTCCCAAAGTGCTGGGATTACAGGTACCATGCCTGGCCAGAAGTCAGTAATTTAAACAGGTAAATAGAAGACGCAGCCTACCATTGACAGAGGGTGTGCTTTGGCTGGAGCTTGTCTGTATAAGGTGTCCTATATTGCTGAAGCCAACAGACTTCCGCTAGCGGGTGGGTAGAGCCTGGGCTGAGGACACAGCTGGAGATACTCTGAGGAACTTCTGGGCTTTGGCTAAATAATAATAGAGTACCAGAACCTGGAGCTGAGAAATAATAAATTAATAACTGATAGAATAAAAAAACCAAAGGGTGTTCTTTGATAAGATTATAAAGTCTATAAGAGTATAGCAAGACTGATCAAGAAAAAAACAGAGAACATGCAAATCATCATATCATAAATGAAGAGGAAGACATGGCTACAGATCCAACAGACAAAAAAAAAGAATCAAGGGGATAGCATAAATAATTTTTAACCATTTTAGATGACATAGAGTCATTCCTTTGAGATTGAATCAATTTTTAGAAAACTTCCCATACATTAAGTTAATATAGTTGGGAAGTGGCATAAATCTTTTTGTCTTAATTTTTAAAAATTGTATGGCCAGACAATCCTTTTATATCTGGAAACCCCTTGCTGCTCATCTTTTCTTGGCATTTCCACAGTCTCATGATTTCCTTGATTGGCTCTGTTGAAAATCCTGTGAAGTCATGCACATCTGAACACAGCAGGATTTTATTTTGAGGAGCTTGATGGATTTCACAGCACACACACACATACATACACATCTTCAATAGTGTAATCCTTCCAGGCTTTCATGGTGTTCTCTCTCTCAGGATTCTCTTCCACAGCATTGTCAGTCCTTTTCTATGAAGTATTATGTGTAATGAACCTTAAAATCCCCTTGTGATCTGAAGGCTGGATAGAAACGTTGTATTTGGGGCCTGTAGACCACTTGGATGCCTTTGGTCTTGAATTCAAGGGATGCGGGGTGGCCAGGGCGCTGTCTGGTATTCAAAGAACTTTCAAAGGCAGTCCCTTACTGGCAGAATACTTCGTTACTTCAGGGACAAAGCGTTGATGGAACCAATCATAAAAGGGTTCTCGTCCAGGCCTTCCAGTTCAATCAAAAGGCTGACAGCTGATGTTCACCTTTTCCCTTTAAGGCTTAGAGGTTAGCATCTTTTAAATTTTTTTTTTTAAGATGAACCATTTATTTTCATATTTTTATTTGAAAATGTTTATATCAGTACAATGAAACTAAATTTTAGACACTGGATGTCATTAGTTTAGATATCATTAGTTTATTATAAAAGAAAGACATGAAAATTATTTACATGAGGAAAGATTTCACAACTTCAGTGGAATGGACAGTTTCATGTTGATGCCATTTCAACAGTGTTTTGCTTCAGTCCACATACCTTCCAAGAATGTCACCATCTTAAATAAGAAATAATTCTTGTCGTCTAGAACTACTTTGGTGCCTCCATATTCTGGGAGAAGAACTTTATCTCCAACTTTCACACTAACTGATTGAATCTCTCTACCCTTTCCTTTGGCGCCCGAGCCAATGGCCACCACTATTGCCTGCAGTACCTTTCCCTGAGATTTTTCTAGAAGCATAGTGCCTCCCTTGGTTTTAGTTTCGACTGCGCTCCTTTCAACTAATACTCAAAGAGCGGAAGAAACTTTCTAAATACTTGTCCTGCCATGGCTCCCACCAGCTAGCTCCGGCTCTCACGCTGCCCACAAGGCAGCATCTTCCTGACTGTAAACTTTACAGTATTTGCATAAAACAGTAAGGTTAGTCTGTCCCTTCATGTCTTCAATCCTGGTATGTTCTTCTTTTCCCTACTGGTAAATGTTCTTAGTGGCATTTTTATCCTCCCAGAATAGGACACTCTTTATCTGAACTAAAAGCTGTTCAAATAGATGTTCTTTATTCTCAGTGACTTTTTATTTTTATTTTTTGGAATCAGAGTCTGTCTCTGTCACCCAGGCTGGAGTGCAGTGACACGGTCACAGCTACCATAGCCTTGACAGTCTCGACCTCAATGACTTTTTGAATGGCATCTGTGAACTCCTGCCACTTGGTTAGCAGAAGATGCTTCTATTTTCGTAGCATTTTAAAAAGCCATACTTCTTTCTGAAATTATCAAATCATCCTTTACTGGCATTAAAGGATCTTCAGCTTCGGATCTCTCACCTTCCTTTTGCTTTAAGTTGTAGTATTATGACTTCACTTTTTCCTGAGTTTAATATTAGAGTTCATAGTATGTCTCTTACACCAAATCTGCACCCACATAAAGTTGCATTTTCAAAATGAGACAAACGAATATTTCATAAAAAGTGCAAGGTTTCGTGCGTTTTGGTGTAGCTGCAGCAACAATTTCACATATTTTTTTTTACAATGATCTTTATGCTGGTTATTATTATTATTTTTAATCTTGAAATGGTGGATAACTGCAGCAGCGAACTTCAATCTGTAGTATATATCAAGCAATTCAACTTTTTCTTGTAATGTCATGCCTTTTCTCTGCTGCTTGAGAGCACTTCCAGCATCAATAGTGACTCTTTGGGTCCTGTGGTGTTATTCAAGGTCTACAGAATTGCAGTGAACATGAAAAATAATCAAGTCAAGAGGTCACTTTTTACTGTGATAAGAAATTTCCTGTACAGACGAACTGCTTAGCCACCACACTTCGTTTTCAGTGAATACTTAAAACACTTGTGCTCACCACAATAGTAACAGGAGGTAGATGTGAAATTATTCTAGTACTACAATATGTACTGCAGTTAATTTTATGCTATTAAAATTTAATATTGCACTTTCGCATTTCTTTTTTTTTGAGTTGGAGTCTCACTCTGTCACTCAGGCTAGAGTGCAATGGCACACTCATGGCTACTGCAACCTCAGTCTGCTGGGCTCAGGCAGTCCTTCTGCCTCAGTTTTCCAAATAGCTGGAACTATAGGTGCGCACCACCATGCCAGGCTAATTTTATGATTTATTGTAGAGACAAAGTCTCACTGAGTTGCCCAGACTGGTCTCAAACCCCTGAACTCAGGCAGTCCTCTTGCCTTGGCCTCTCAAAGTACTGGGATTACACGCTTGAGCTACTGTGCCCAGGTGCAACCTTCACATTTCTTTACATTTCTCTTAACTGCAAATGATGCCACATACTGTCTGTAATTATGTGTGTATGTTTTGATAAATTTTAACTTTTTATAATACAGTTGTATATATTTATCTGTGCTACACATTTAATCTGCAAGTTTTTTTAGGTTGTTACAAATTTCCAAAAAAATTTCCCAGTATATTTTTTGAAAAAAGTGTGTAAATAATTGGACCCACGCAGTTCAAACTTATGTTCTTTAAGGGTCAGTTGTGTTTTGAATGATCTTTATTAACTGTACATTTTGGGGGTTTTTGGTCTCACAGTGTTCATGCGATTATTAGATTTATTATTTCTTTTTGTGTTTGAAAAGATTTAATCTTTATTATATTTTTTCTTGAATTGGTTTTATAATTTACTTTTTAAAGGCTTACAATAGCAGCACTAGGAGAAAAACTGAATGATTATTGGAATGAAATGAAAGTGAAGAAGAATGCAGAGTATCCTCTAAGTTTGCCAGTTGAAGATATACAGTAAGTATATTTTTTAAAAATCAACTCACTCTTAAGATATAGTATTGGAGAGTATAATGATCATACAGTGTTTCACAAACTTATGACTTTAACTCATTAAGGAATGAATTCTGCAACATGATTCAGCACACTTTAAAATCAGTGACTGAACATACGCATGTATACATATACACAAAGGATTCATGAAACAATGTTTACCCACATGTGTGATACATGATGCTGTCATTTCATTTGTCAAATGCTAATTGTGACCTATTAAATTGATTTCATGATCCATTAATGGATTGTATAAGAGTTTAAAACCAGCCAGGCTCGGTGGCTCAGTCTGTAATCCTGCGCCTTTGGGAGGTTGAGGTGAGTGGATTGCCTGAGCCCATGGGTTCAAGACCCACTTGGGCAGGCGAGACCTCATCTCTACAGTAAATCAAAAAATGAGCCGGGCGTGGTAGGGCACGCCTGTAGTTCCAGCTACTTGGAAGACTGAGGTGGAAGGATCGCCGGAGCCCAGCAGGTCGAGGCTTACAGTGACTGGGAGCGGCCACTGCACTCCAGTCTGGGCGACAGAGTGAGACTCCAACTCAAAAAAAAAAAAAAAGTTTAAAACCACTGGTATAATGTAGTTATTAGGATTATGGATCTAAACCTGATTTCAGATTCTAGTTCTGCTATATAAGTAGTCATATGACATTGTACATGTTACCTGGCCTCTTGAAAACTTCTATTTTCTCTTCCATATAAAATGCTACCATTAGTAGGATTTACGTTTTAGAGTTGTAAGAATTGAACAGTATGATAGCTGACTTAGTAACATGTTGTACATGGTAAGAATCTTATACATCAATGAGTGAACAATATCCTTGTGTACTAATATGGAAAGATATCCGAGATAAATAATGAAAAGCAAGAAAAATGCATCCTCAGTATTTAAATTTCCCATTGGATTTTTTAAAGTATACATATGCATACTTTTATAAACATTGAAAATTGCTGCCAGGATTTAAAAAGTTAACAGTGGTAATCTCAAACAAGGGGTTTATTTTTACCTTATAAACTAAGGTTTTATAAATGTCTAAATGCTTTTTCCCAAAACTGGCTTTTTTATTTTTTTTATTTTATTTTTTGAGTAGAAGTCTCACTCTGTCACCCAGGCTGGAGTGCAAGTGGCACACTCACAGCCACCACAACCTTAGCTCTGCTGGACTCAGGTGATCCTTCCACCTCAGCCTTCTGAGTAATTGGAACCACAGGCACACATCACCATGCCCAGCTAATTTTTTGATTTGTTATAGAGGTGAGGTCTCACCAAGTTGCCCAGGCTGTTCTCAAAACCCTGGACTCAGGCAGTCCTTTCGCCTTCCCCTCCCAAAGTGCTGGGATTACAGGTGTGGGCCACCAAACCCGGCCCAAAACTAGCTTTTTAAAGCTGTTGGCAGTTGGGCTCAGTGGCTTGGCCGGTAATCCAATCGCTTTGGGAGGCCGAGGTGAGTGGATTGCCTGAGCCCGCGGGTTCGAGACCTGCCTGGGCAACTTGGCAAGACCTCATCTCTACAATAAATCAAAAATTAGCCAGGCGTGGTAGCGCGCCTGTAGTTCCAGCTACTTGGAAGGCTGAGGCAGAAGGATCGCCAGAGCCCAGCAGGTCGAGACTGCAGTGGCCAGGAGCAGCCACTGCACTCCTGTCTGGGTGACAGAGTGAGACTCCAACTCAAAAAAAAAAAAAGCTGTTGGCATTCAGGTGAAGTTTTCATATGTAAGATTAATCTACATAAATTCTTTACAGGAGTCATTGTAATATTTATTTATTTAGTCAGAGTCTAACTGTGTTGTCTTGGCTGGAGTGCAGTGGCACAGTCACGATCCCAACTTGCTACAGGTGCATACAACCTTTATTTATTTATTTATTATTTGATGAGTCTCATCAAGCTGCCCGGGCTGGTCTTGAATACAGGTGTGAGCCAGCACAACATACTGTAGATTTGATGTTGTACATGCTAACTTAATAATAATTTCAGGGCAAGGCATTTGGAATTTTTTTGTCATTATCATAGGATAAATTTTATAGTGCAGTTAAACAAGACATTTAAGTCACTGTTCAATTTGACCTTTGACCTGTAATCTTTGGAAGGCAACGAAAATGTGTTTCTTTTTCTTATTTTGTTTTTTGGGTTGTTTCTAGAGACAACTTAGGGTCTTACTATGTTGCTCAAGCTAGTCTTGAACTCCTGGGCTGAAGTGATCCTCCGCCTCTGAGTAGCTGGGACTGCAGGCATGTACCACCATGCTGGGTCGGAAAGGTTGTTTTTTAAATTTAAAAAATTTTTTTTTTTTTTTTTTTACAGAGATAGGGTTTTACCCTGTCTCCCTGGTTGAGTGCAGTGGTGATGTCATTGTAGCTCGCTGCAGCCTCGATTTCCTAGACTCAAGCAAACTTTCCATCTCAGCCTCCCATGTAGCTGGGACTACAGGCATGCTACTTTCATTTTTTTTGTAGAGCAACCAAGGTGGTTGTGTTGCTTTGTTTTGCTTTTTGGGCCCCCCCTTGGTCTCATTGTATTTCTTGTTCTGGACTTAAACTGACGTCAAATAATCCTCTTGCCTCAGCCTCCCCAAGTGCTGGGATTATAGGCATGAGCCATCTTGCCCAGCTAAAACACTTTAAAAAAATTGTTATGTCACAGCATTTTTAGGAAAGGAATTAAACAGTAGGGATATTGTGTAGTGGAAATGTGAATAGAAAATCTAATGAAGTACTGGAGTCCATATTTTCATGCTAATATTTTTATTCTTGTGTTGTGACAGGAAACGTCCTGATCAGACATGGGTTCAATGTGATTCCTGTCTAAAGTGGCGAAAATTACCTGATGGGATAGATCAGCTTCCAGAAAAATGGTATTGCTCCAATAACCCTGACCCACAGTTCAGGTACCATATAGTTGGTAGTACCCTTTTGGAAAGGCAGAAAGTACTGTTCATACTATGTATGAATAGGCTCTGGTGACATGTTATTGCCATGTGATTTTTCTGACTAGAAATTGTGAGGTTCCAGAAGAACCTGAAGATGAGGATCTGGTGCATCCCACTTACGAAAAAACCTACAAAAAGACGTGAGTGCTGTATTAATGTATGGTGGGTAATAATACCTAAGTCATGAATGGCAACATGTGTCAGCAGTGTTAGTTGATGCTTCTCCCAGGGTAAAGCTAGTTTACTGAAAAAAGATTATGATGTAGAATGCACAGTATCAAGTGTTTTGTTTCTTTTTTAAAATTTGTGCTGTGGATATATGCTATTTATTGACCTCATGCTTATTACTGTTGTATCTCTAAGATTCGTTACATAAGAGTAGTTTATCTTTTTGAATCATACACAGATGAATCATTAGTGAGTACTCCCTTTTATAAGCTTATAAGAAAGGTGTAAATGAGAAGGTGAGACACGTATATTATCATTCAGAAGTTGGCAAGTCCTGTAGAAGCTACGGTCCAGCTCATGGGGAGAAATTGCTTCTGACTGAGGAAGGGGAGGGAAGAAATGGATGAGGAGGCTTCATGAAGGAGGTCTTTTTTTCTTTTTTGAGTTGGAGTCTCAGTCTGACACCCAAGCTGGAGTGGTGAGGCACACTCACAGCCACCCAAGGTCAACCTGCTGGTCTCCAGCGATCCGTCTACCTCAGCCTTCCAAGTAGCTGGAACTACAGGCATGTGCTACCACACCCAGTCAATTTTTGATTTATTGTAGAAACGAGGTCTCACCAAGTTGCCCGGGCTGGTCTTGAACCCACAGGCTCAGGAAGTCCACTCACCTCGGCCTCCCAAAGCGCTGGGATTACAGGCTGAGCCATTGAGGTCATTTTTGTAATAGAACTTGAAGAATGGGTAAGATGAGAATGTACAGGGAGCAATCATGTGTTCTACAGCTATACACTTATGTGCATGGGAATAAAGGAAAATGGAGGTGGAGTATTGATAAACTGGGTAAAGATAGCCAGGATAACAGAAGGCCAGGTTCAACAAGAGCCTTTCAGATGGCTTTGATTTATAGTGTACATTATTCTTTAATGAAATCTAGTATCAGTATTGGAAGTAAAGTAACTGGTTAAAGACCTATGTGATGTTCCAATTCGGAGGTTTGTAATCCATGCTTGCTGGGATGGAAAAATTCAGGCAGACGTTAGGGTAGTCCTAAGGTAAAAGGTAGAAGGTTTTCCTTGTCTTTAAGGACTTACTACTGATCATAATGAAATTGAAGCAAAGTTCAGGGTACATCTCTTAGTAACTCGGTTGTTAAATGGCAGATATGTCATTGGGAAATAAGATTAAGAAATAACAATGGAATAAATTTGATATATCTTTTTCATCTTTATTTTAAAGCAACAGAGAAAAATTAAGGATCAGACAACCAGAAGTGATCCCTCGGGTAATTAAGCCTTCTGTTTTATAACTGTGTCTTGTATTGTATAATGCTTAGGACTTAGACATTGAAGGAATCTGATTTTTCAGTTCACATTCTGGTTTTTTTTGAGACAGAGTCTCACTTTGGTGCTCGGGCTGGAATGTATAGCACGATCATGGCTACTGCAGCCACAACCTTCTGGGTTCAGATAATCCTCCTGCCTCAGCCTTCCAAGTAGATGGGACTACAGGTGCACACCACTACACCTGGTTAATTTAATTTATTTATGGTAAAGATGAGGTCTCCCCATGTTGCCCAGGCTGGTCTTGAACTCCTAGACTCAGGCAGTCCTCTTGTCTCAGCCTCCCAGAGTGCTGGGATTACAGGCATGAGCCACTGTGCCCAGCTCTCCTCTAAAATTATTCCCCTCCTTGCATTCTTTTCCACTTTAACTTTCTGACCTAACAACATCATTCAAAGTGTTCAATTTTGTTATTTTGTTGGTTAGATAGGCAGTTAAGGAAAGAGTCACAGAAACACCAAGGAAGCCATATTTGAGTGCTAACCTGGACGAAAACTATAGTGTTTTTCTTCCATTGACTACTCTGCCTGACCCCCATTCATTCTTTCATTTCTTTCTTCTTTTTTTGAGTCAGTTTCACTTTTGTCACCCAGTCTGGAATGTGTTGGCACACTCATGGCCACCACAGCCTCAACCTGCTGGGCTCAGGTGATCCTTCTGCATCAGCCTTCCAAGTAGCTGGAACTATAGGCATGCACCACCATGCCCAGCTAATTTTTTGATTTATTGTAGAGATTAGGTCTCACCAAGTTATCCAGGCTGGTCTCGAACCTGTGGGCTCAGGCAATCCTCTCGCTTCCACCTCCCAAATTGCTGGGATTATAGGCGTGAGCCATGGCATCTGGCCTCTACTTTAATTTTTAAAGGCAATATCTTTATGACCTTCTTTAATTTTAGTAGTTTAATTTTATTATATCTTGATAAGTACTATAGTACAGGGGTCACCATATAGTAAATCCTTTTGGCTTTGTGGGCCACATATAGCCTCTGTTGTGTGTTCTTTGTTTTGTTTGTTCATATCCTTTAAAACTGTAAAACCATTTTTAGCTGCTTGCAGGCTGAATTTAGCTCATTGGTTCATTCATTGATCCCTGGTGTAGCACAAGGAATTTTTATGTTTGGTATTGTTCTCATGTCATCATCTGGGATAAGAGGAAAAAGGACATATTAAGATCCGTTTTTTTTCCTCCACTGACAGATTAATACTGAACTATTGTTTCGGACAAACCCTGTTTCGATTCCAAGCTTTTGTCCTGCAAAACAAAGTGTTCCAAGAGGACATCTTTCAGAAGCGACAAATTCTTACACAACAAGAATTCTAAATAATCATCGAGTTTCACCCCAGTCTGAGCCTGAAAGCAACAGGTCAGTGCCCAAGATATGTTTTTCCATTTGAATTGTTGTTGTTATTGTTTGTTTTTCTTTTTGAGTCAGAATCTCCCTCTGTCACTTAGGCTAGAGTACAGTGGTATGATCACTGCAACCTTGATCTCCTGAACTTAGGCAGTCCTTCTGCCTCACCCTCCCAGGTAGCTGGGACTATGGGTGCACACTACCATGCCTGGCTAATTTTTTTGAATTTTTGTAGAGATGGTAGGGGTCTCACTATGTTGCCCAGACTAGTCTCAATTTCCTGGGCTCAGGAAGTCTTCCCGCCTTAGCCTCCCAAAATGCTAGAAATACAAGTGTATGCCACTGCACCCCCAGCCATTTGGAGTATGTTAGGCAGAACCTTTAGTTAACACTTTTATGGCAGTAATCCAGTTCTATATAATTTTAGAATGGTTACATGAACATAAAAATCTTAAGGACAAATGACTGCTTTTATTGTCTACAGTTACCCCACTTCTGCCACCTGTTTAAATTAGTTTAAAAAAATATTAATTGTATTCATTGTGGAGTTTGATCAAATTGTCGCCTCTTTGAACTTCTGTATGACATGAAAATTTCTGCTTTTAAGATGATCAATATGTAAATAAAGAAAAACTTGGAAGTAATTAACAGTACAACACTATATCAAGCATGACCCAGAAGTTCTTAGCATAGCCTGTAGGCACTTAGTCTGTTGGATGAGTGGATGGAGAAGGAAGAGAGAAAGAATAAGAGATATGTGAATTGAAGAGTTAGCCATCTTGAGTAGTTGAAGGAAGGCTTTTTGATGAAGTGGTACTTAGGTTGGTTCCTGGAATTCTGAAAACGGTACAGTCTGCATAGGTGGCCTATTCCAAGGTACTGGAATGTACATAGATGAAGAAGAAGAATGAGCAAGATGTGTAGGAACTGAAAGACCATGCAGGCCAACTACATCTGGTGGTTGATATTGAAAGAAGAACATTGAAACAAGTGTCTCTGAGACAGTGGGACCAGATATTTTGAGAGGTTTCATCAGATTTTCAAAATAATTTTTTTCTCTCTTTTTTTTTGAGTTGGAGTCTCACTCCGTTGCCCAGGTGGGAGTGCAGTGGCACACTCACGGCCACCCCAGTGTCAACCTGCTGGGCCCCAGTGATTCTTCTACTTCAGCCTTCCAAGTAGCTGGAACTATAGGCATGCGCTACCACAGCCAACAAATTTTTTATTTTATTGTAGAGACAAGGTCTCACCAAATTGCCCGGGCTGGTCTCCAACCTGTGGCCTGAGACAATCTACTCATCTCAGCCTCCCAAAGTGCTGGGATTAGAGGTTAAGCCACCAAGCCCGGCCTCGAAATAATTTTTGACCTCAAAGAAAATTATAAATAACTAACTGCCTTTATGCATGTAATAAGTAAAGAAGGACACATTCTAAAATAGTTTTCTCTTTATAGCCTGTGCATTAGTGACTTGAAGCTGTATTGCTACCTAACGACTTGTATGATTTGTTTTTGTTTTTAAGTAGTCTTAATATTCTTGGCTATCCTTCATAAAAGTGTTTCTGTAGTTTACAAACAAGAGATTAGAAAATATTTTAAAAGTTGCTGCCATCAGCCGAGCTTGGTGACTCAGCCTATAATTCCAGCACTTTGGGAGGCCAAGGTGAGTGGATTGCGTGAGCCTTCGGGTTCGAGACCAGCCCGGGCAACTTGGTGAGACCTTGTCTCTACAATAAAATCAAAAGTTATCCGGGTGCGGTAGCACACGCCTGTAGTTCTGGCTACTTGGAATGCTGAAGTGGAAGGACTGCCGGAGCCCAGCAGTTAGACGCTGGGGTGGCTGTGAGCGTGTGTGCCACTGCGCTCCAGCCTGGGTGAAGGAGTAAGACTCCAACTCAAAACAAAAAAAAAGTTTGTTGCAATCAAAGTGGAAGATGAGAATAAAGAGGGAAGTGTTTGTTTTTGTTTTTGAGTTGGAGTCTCACTCCATTGCCCAAGCTGAAGTGTAGTGGGGAAGTTTTTCATTACTTTTTATTTTTTTGAGTCAGGATCTCACTCTGTCACCCAGGCTCTGGAGTGCAGTGACATGCTTACATCCACCGCAGCCTTGACCAGCTGGGCTCAGGCGATGCTTCTGCCTCAGCCTTCAGGTAAGCTGGAAGTATAGGCATGTGCCACCACGCCTGGCTAATTTTTTGGTTTATTGTAGAAATGAGGTCTCGCCAAGTTGCCCAGGCTGGTCTTGAACCCGTGGACTCAGGTGGTCCTCTTGCCTCCACCTCCTAAAGTATTGGGATTACAGGGGTGGACCACCACACTTGGTGCATTCTTACAGTTTAAGCTTCAGTCACCTTCAAAGTATTCTCCTCCTTTGGATGTAGTACATTTATCGAGACACTTTTCCCACTGCTCAAAACAGTTTTTAAAAAAATATTTATTTTGGGGGCCGGGCTTGGTGGCTCAGTCTGTAATCCCGCGCCTTAGGAGGTTGAGGTGAGTAGATTGCCTGAGCCCGCGGGTTCGAGACCCGCCTGGGCAACTTGGTGAGACCTCATCTCTACAATAAATCAAAAAAATTAGCCAGGTGTGGTAGCGTGCACCTGTAGTTCCAGCTACTTGGAAGGCTGAGGCGGAAGGATCGCCAGAGCCCAGCAGGTCGAGGCTGAGGTGGCCGGGAGCGGCCGCTGCACTCCAGTCTGGGCGACAGAGTGAGACTCCAACTCAAAAAAAAATAAAAATAAAAAAATAAAAACCAAGACAAAACAAAACAAAAAATTTTTATTTTTGGGTGCAGTTCAGGTTTAATCATACAAATGTTCATTATGCAAGTACCCTTGTTGATGAGGTATGCCCCTCCTTGCCCTGGCAGTTTCCCACTACTGCCAATCCTTTTCTTATAGTATTAGGATAATTGTTCAAGGTCTGCTTATGAGTGAGAACATATGGTACTCTGTTCTTTTCTTCTGTGATAGATCACTGAGTATGATAGATTCTGAATTCATCCAAGTCAAAACAGTTTTTGAACTCATCGATTTTCATGCCTTTTAGTGCTTCTGCTGTTTTTTGTTTCACCTTTTCCACATTAGCAAAATGATTCCCTTCAAGAAACTTTTTCATCTGGGGAAACAAAAGTTGTTCAGGGGGCAAGATCGGGTGAATAGGAAGGGTGAGAGGTACGGGGTCATGCAGTTTTTGGTGAAAAACTGCTGAACACTTAATGCAGTATGGGCAAATGTGTTGTCATGGTGGAAGAACCAGTCACCTGTTGGCGATAACACGTGGCAGAATTTGTGAACATTTCAATTTGTGGATGTTTCTTCCACAAATTGTGACACACCTTCTCAAAACTTTCAGATAAAAACTTTGGTTGACTGTTTGGTTGCCTGTTTGATCAGATAGAACAAATTCCAAGTGTACTGAAAGGGGCCCATCCTTTAAAAGATAATTCCTAGCAGGGCTCAGTGACTCAGCCTGTAATCCCACACCTTTGGGAGGCTGAGGTGAGTGGATTGCTTGAGCCCGTGGGTTCGAGACCCGCCTGGACAGCGAGACCTCATCTCTACAGTAAATCAAAAAATCAGCCGGGCATGGTAGCGCATGCCTGTAATTCCAGCTCCTCGGAAGGCTGAGGCAGAAGGATCACCGGAGCCCAGCAGGTTGAGGCTGCGGTGGCTGGGAGCGGCCACTGCACTCCAATCTGGGCAAGAGAGTGAGACTCCAACTTAAAAAAAAAAAAAAGAACACAATAGAAAAAGGGAGTTTTTTTCAGAGAGGGAAAACATTGATTACCTGCAAAAGATCAGGAATTAGAATGGGGTGGTGTACAAAAATGGAATGATGCTTTTAGATTTTTGACAAAATATTTTCCAACCTGGAAATCAGTATAACATTCAAGTCAGCAATGTACTTGAATGAGAGGGAATACAAATGTTTTCATCATGCAAAACTTTACATTTGTTATGTCCCATGCACTTTTTCTGCAGATGCTGTTGGGAGTATGCTCCCTCTGCATGAGAGTAAGTCCAAGCAAGAGGAAAATCCTTTGGGACATCTAGAAGTCCAATACAAGGCCCAAATAGCAAACCAGTACAAATGTTCCTTCAAGTGTGGGAAAGAATAATCAATGGGTGATAGACAAATTTACAGGAAAATGAAATAAATGAGGCAATTTTAATTCAGGGGAAATTGTTTTATATGAAAGATAGGAATACTAGTTTGTTTTATGGCTTGCTTTTGATTACTGAATACGGATAAAAATTATAATGGGCAAATTAAAATGGTTGTTTCATTTCCTGAGCTCAAGACTACAGAGGAAGGTGCTGGGGTAGGTAGCGTTCTGTTTTAGACATGTATACACTGAAATGCCTGGAAGCCATCAGATGAAGAGATGACTGTATACAGATCTGGTACTTGACAGATCTCATTAGTCAATCGTTTCTTCATCTGTACGAGGAAAAAAAAAATTTCTACTTTATTAAATCAGTGGTCAGTACTGTACAGTGTATCATTTAAAAACATGAGCCTAGTCATTTCTTAGAACTTTGAAATAGTTATAAAATTGTTACAGTATTGCATTTATTAGAATAATTACTTGAAGGTCATCTATTTTGTTTATATTCATATTTTATGCATAAAATTTTTTCCAGCCTGAAACGGAGACTTTCTACTCGTTCCTCAATTTTGAATTTAAAGCATCGGAGATTGAGTAATCAAGCATTTGAAAATTCAATTTATAAAGATGAGGACAATGATGAAGATGTCATTATCTTAGAAGAAAACAGTACCCCTAAACCTGCAGTAGATCATAATATTGAAGTGAAATCAGAACAGAGTCACATTGAACAAAGTGGTGTTCAAGTTGAGCTTGTGGATGATAATGAGCCTTGTGGCCAGACTAGTTCAACAAACACCTCGACATCCAGGTGTGATCAGGGAAATACTGCAGCCACCCAGACTGAAGCACCAAATTTAGTTGTTAAAAAGGAAGAAACTATTGAAGATGAGATCGATTTAAGAAATGATACGGCAATACTGCCCTCCTGTGTAGAAGCCGAAGCAAAAACACAGGAAACCCAGGAAACCTTTGATAAATCTGTAGATGATGCTGGCTGCCAATTAAAAGAACTGAGAAGTGAACTATTTGTAGTAACCCAAGAAAAAGAAAATTATAAAAGACAGTGTCATATGTTTACTGACCAAATCAAAGTGTTACAACAGAGGATACTGGAAATGAATGACAAATATGTGAAGAAGGAAACTTGCAATCAGTCTACTGAAACTGATACTGTATTTTTACTTGAAAGTATTAATGGCAAATTGGAAAGTCCAGACCATATGATATCTCAGTATCAACAAGCATTAGAAGAAATAGAAAGGCTGAAAAAACAATGTAGTACTTTGCAACATGTAAAGGCTGAATGCAGTCAGTGTTCCAGTAGTGGAAATAAAAGTGAAATGGATGAAATGGCTGTGCAGCTTGATGATGTATTTAGACAGCTGGACAAATGCAGTATTGAGAGGGACCAGTATAAAAGTGAGGTGAGTCGTATCATCTAATGTCATGGGAGTTCAGAACCATTTAAACCTAAAGAGGTAACAGTTGCAATACTGGAAAACTCTCTTAAAAATAATTCTATTGTCTGTTATTCCACTGGTTTGCAACTGAGGAGTGGGCCTTCAGGGGGGCATATGGAAATGTGTAGGGACATTTTTGGTTCTGATATGCATTGCTGGAAAATAATGGGTGGTCCAGGTATAGTAAATGACCAGTATAACAGAACATTACTGTGCAATGAAAAATTGTCCTCAAAATACCAATGTTTTCCCCATTAAGACAGTTACTCATTGTAGTAGAAACTTTACATTCATTTTAATAAACCTTACTATAACCATTCAGGGTAGGTGGTAGTATTCTCATTTGACTGATGCACCCTGTATTAGGATTATGTTTGTGTGCAAGTACAATAATACCCAAGTCATGGCACCTCTGCTATCATCAGAGACGTAGTAGGCTCCTGCATGTTGCTTTGCTTCTCAGCATGCAGCTATGTTCTGAGATGGCTCTTTGGATTTAGCCATCATGTCTACATTCCAAATGGCAGGAAAGAGAAGGGGTGTGGTTCTGGGGAGTTACTTAAGGTTCCATGTCAGAACTGAGCCACCTGGCTAATTGGTGCCTGAGAATGTAGTTTTTACTCAACACTTCTTTTACTGAGGAAGGGGGAAGAAAGTACTTCAAATTCAGGTAGCTCCTCTTTATTTATTTTACTTTATATTTCTTGTGGCTTTTGAAAGGATCTGCTAAAGTTTGGGAGCCACAGTGTGGTGCTGTACTATCTCTTCTTGGAAATATTGCTAATGGAACTGTGTACCCAAACGCAATGATGTCTTGGCTCAAGAGCTCCATGACAAAATGCAGATGCTCCTCTCCTTATGTTGGGATTATGTCCTGATAAGCCCATCATCAGTGGAAAATGCATTTACTACACGAAACCTAGCCCAGCATACTAAAATGTGCTCCGAATGGTTAAATTAATCTATAGATGGGCATCTAACGCAGTTGTGTTTATCATAAAGCGTGGAATATTTCATGTAATTTTACTGAATACTAAAAGTGAAAAACAATGGTTGTATGGATACTTGAAATGCAGTCTCTACTGAATGGCTGTCAGTTTTGCAACATTGCAAAGGTGAAAACTCTTAGTTAAACCATTGTAAATCAGGGACTGTTTTATTTAAATGTCTACATAAACTATTGTAACTTATAACTTAGAGTTGGTGAATGCAAGAAATGAAAGTCACTGTGACAGTCACATAATTTGGGCATTAGTATCTTGGTTTTTCAGTTTGTAGGGACTGTTCTTTCAGTGTAAAAAGAGGTAAAAGCAAAACTATAAACAAATGAAGCATTGCTTCCAGAAAACTTGATTTTTCTGTTTGTCTATATATTTGGTTTTTGACATCTAGTAACTTTATCAAGCATATTCTCTCTATTACATAAGTATTTTTTAATTTTAAAGCTATACAATTCATTCATATTTTTTGTCAGGTTGAATTACTGGAAATGGAAAAATCACAAATCCGTTCACAGTGTGAAGAACTCAAAACTGAAATTGAACAGTTAAAATCTACAAGTCAACAGATAGCAACAGATGTTTCAACTTCAAGTAACATTGAGGAATCTGTAAATTATATGGATGAGGAAAGGTAATATTAAATGAGGCATCTTGAGGGGGCTGCAATTATGGTGGAGCTACTACTTATTTTTGTCTGCTATCATGCATCAAATAGATACCGTTCTATCAAAAGAAGTTACTGATTGTCTTCGGTCCTCCTGACATTATTATAGAGATATACAAATGAAGTAATACATCATCATCCTTTCAAGTGTTGCTGACTGTTTAGGTTCCATTTAAGTGCAATAGGAATTTAAGAGGAATAAAGCATTTGGTCAGAGTAGTTTGGAATGTTTTTTGAAAAAAAGTGAAAATCGAACTAGAGTTGGAGTCTCACTCTATCGCCCAGACTGGAGTGCAGTGGCCACTCCCGGCCACCGCAGCCTCGACCTGCTGGGTTCCGGCGATCCTTCCACCTCAGCCTTCCAAGTAGCTGGAACTACAGGCATGCACTACCATGCCCGGCTAATTTTTTGATTTATTGTAGAGATGAGGTCTCGCCTGCCCAGGCGAGTCTCGAACCCGCAGGCTCAGGCAATCCACTCACCTTAGCCTCCCAAAGGTGCTGGATTACAGGCTGAGCCACCGAGCCTGGCTTCTTTTTCTTTTTTAAAATTATTTTTAGAGATGGGAGTCTCACTATGTTGCCCCATCTGGTCTTGAACTCCTAGGCTTAAGTGATCATCCTGCCTTGACCTCCCAAAATGCTGGGATTACAGGAATGAGCCACTCTGCCCTGGAAACTTCTTTAAACCTGTTTTGTTTTACTGTTGGACTTGGCACCGTTGCTTTATGGGTTGCTATCCTTATATGCTTTCACTATATGCTTTCCCTGATCTTAATTTAGGAAATCACAAACTTAATAAAAATCACCATTGTATAGGTGATAATAGGAAGAAGTCCTATTAAACAAGTAGGCAGTAGAGAAATGATTATCCTATCTCAGTAAGATATAAAATGGGCTTGGGTTTCTGTTGATTTGTTTTTGATGGTAAGGTGGCAGGGGTTCAGGGGATGACAGTGTGGGTGGGGTGTTCATGGCTTACCATTCAAAAATAGTCATCAGACTAAAGTTGTGCAGTTCTACCTGCTAATATGATAACACTTGAGATCTAAAATGTACTTGTTGAAAAATACCTCCTGCCACCCTCACTTTAATTATATTATGACTTTGTCTCACAGCTTTAATATTTGAAGCATTTCATTAAATCTGATCATGGAAATAGAAGAGAGCAATGAATGCATTTCAACATGGAAGGCAAGGGGTGAAAAAAAAGTCTTGACGAGTGTTTCTGAAAATGGGGACCACAGGCATTTATGGGTCCTGCTGCAGTTTATTGAATTAGAAACTGTTTTAAATAAACTCACAAGCCAGATGTGGTGGCTCACACATGTAATCCCAATACTTTGGGAGGCAAAAGTAAGATGATTGCCTGAGCCCAAGGGTTCAAGACCTGCCTGGACAACTTGGTGAGATGTTATCTCTACAAAAATAAAAAAATTAGCCAGTCATGATGGGGCACACCTGTAGTAGTACCAGCTATTTGGAAGGCCGAGGTGGAAGGATTGCCTGGGTCTAGCAGGTTGAGTCTGCAGTAACTGTGTGATATTCCACTGCACCCCAGCCTGGGCAACAGAGTGAGCCTCTAACTTTTAAAAAAAATACAGATTTTTTTTTTTTTGCACACTAAATTTTGAATAACCAACAACAGTCTGTTAGTCTACTTTCCAATGTGGTAGCCACTAAGCAACATGTGGCTTTTGACACTTGGAATGCAGGTAGTCTGAATTAGGGTATGCTTAAAGTATAGAACTCTGGCTTTTGAAGGCCTAGTGTGGGGAAAAAATGTAAAATACTTTATTAACAAAGTTTATTTTGGTTACAAATAATACTTTGGCTAAATTGGTTTAAATGAAATAACATTGCTAAAATTCAGTGTTTTTCTTTTTAATGTGAATGTTAGAACATTTGCCGTTGACTATATGGTTAGCATTTTTTCTCTTGGACAATGCCGATGTAGACATTAAAGTACGAATTTGTGACCAAGCATGGTAGTTCACGCTTATAATATCAGTACTTTGGGAGGGTCATTTGAACCCAGCATGGGCAACATAGCGAGACCCCATCTCTATATAAAAGTAAAAAGACCGCCAGGCTCGGTGGCTCAACCTGTAATCCCACGCTTTAGGAGGCTGAGGTGAGTGGATTGCCTGAGCCCGCAGGTTCGAGACCTGCCTGGGCAACTTGGCGAGACCTCATCTCTACTATAAATCAAAAAATCAGCTGGGCGTGGTAGCACATACCTGTAATTCCGGCTACTCGGAAGGCTGAGGCGGAAGGATCACCGGAGCCCAGCAAGTCGAGGCTGCAGTGGCCGAGAGCAGCCACGGCACTCCAGTCTGGGCGACAGAGTAAGACTCCAACTCAAAAAAAAAAAAAAAAAAGTAAAAAGACCAAATTAGTGACATGTCTGTTAGACAGCAGGAAACAGCCAGCAACAATCAAAAGACTTAAGGGAAGGGATGGGTAAGAGGATTGATTTTACTAGTCATTTGTCTGCTTCATGTAGGCTTTGGTTTTGGCATAGGGGATATAGCTGCCTTATGGTTTGTGCTTATTGCTTAAATACTTTCTGGCATGTTTTAAAACCTAGAATGTTGAGATTTATAAACTCTGAAGAAATAATGATTATCTTAATTTAGGATTTCTCAATGTTTTCAGCAAAAAACTGTTCACTGTAAAGGTAACATGGATTGTCAGTGAACTTGATCATATAATGGATTCAGAGAAGTCCTACGGTTTAAAAAAGCTTAACATTTAACCCAAGCTTATTTGACCACACAGCCTTTTGCTCCCTCATGTACACCTATGGATATCTTACAGAGCATGTCTTGCGGAATAATTCATTTTAATTTAATTTCCTCAAAGGGAAGCTGGAATTCAAAGAACTGGATTTTTATATTTAGACTAATGTTCTCACTAGTATATTGCTTCTGTATTCCGGGTGATAATAATATTTCAAGTTGTAAATAACATCATCTATGTATTTTGCTTTGATCCATGTTTTCTCCAGTCTGCAAATTAAAAATATGAGTAGGAACCAAACAAAGCCATTCGTTTTATGAAACATTACTTGATTCTAGGCTAGTGTGTAATGGATAAAATAAATTATTAAAGTAAATCAAATTTTCTAGGGGACAATTTTATTTTATTTTTGTTTAATTGTATATTATTCTACAGAGATTTGATTTTAGTGTTTAAGTTCTATGTGAATATTCACCTGTATCATAATGCTCATCTAATAAGTTAAATATTTGTATTTGCAGCTTGAAACTTCGATCTCTTCGAGTTAATGTAGGACAGCTGCTGGCTATGATTGTGCCTGATCTTGATCTTCAGCAAGTGAATTATGATGTTGATGTAGTTGATGAAATTTTAGGACAAGTTGTCGAACAAATGAGCGAAATCAGTAGTACTTAAAGTACATATTATGTAAAATTAAAAAATATTTGTTCAGCTATTTTGGTTGTATAGCTTTGAAAATACAAACAATTTTGTTTTATAGATATGATAGGTAAGAGACTGAAGAACCATAATCTTTACTGTATTCTATGCATTCAAGTGTGGTCACAAAGATTGTGGACACATTATCATACCTTTTGAAATACCTGTAAATTGTTGGTATTGAGCAGCTGATCCTGTTTTGAATGTAAATATTTGTAATTAAGTCTGCACATATTTTTTTATTGCCCTAGAGTTCTTAAGTGTTTTTCACCAAGAGCTTTTCAGGTTGCCCCTGACCTTTGTGCAATTTTTTCTGGTACTCTAAAGTGTATTTTTCTCTTAAATTGAGGGCTGTACAGTAATACAAATGGAAATGTTACTTTTGATTTTCTTATAAAGGAGCTTAAGTAGGGTTTTTAAATAATGAAGTAGCATTTCTGATAAGGCTCTGGTTATAAGTGAATTGAGCATTAATTTTTTTCTATAAATTCATATCCTGAAACATTTTAATCATGAACATAATGTAAGCAAAAACCAACTCCATTTGACAGGATTTTCTTGTGCTGAGATTGCCAATCATGGTTAAACACAGTGTTTATGTATAGAACGAAGAAATGATCTTTAATAGAAAAAAGTATTGCTAATATTAAATGACCACCAAACTTACTTTGAAGCCCATTTTTGGCTGTTTAGTCAGCATGAAGTGGGCATGATAATTAATATTTCTTTTTGTGAAATTTTCTGTACAGCCTTTTGTAGGATTACTACAGGTTAATGTGAGTTGAGGAAGAAAATCTTTCTTGAACTATGCTACATATCTTTTATTATATTACATACCTAAGTATTTTATATCCTGGAGTTAAGGAACAAACTTCCCTAGGATTATAGTATTACATGCCATAAAATATGCTTTATTGGTCCCATGTTTTGTGCAATTTTAAGAGATGGCTTTCTATTAAGTATGACTTTGTATATATAATTAAAAATCATATTTTCCATAACTAAAATGTGCATTATTTTTTCCAAAGTTTATCATTGTTATTTATTTTTACTTTTGTTTTAGAACATTTAATACATGTTCATTTTGTATGTATGCTTAGTTATATGTCTGTCATATACAATACTAAATTTGTACTGTACATAAACTTCTGAAAAGAGCAAATAAATGAAGATTGTTTTTATTTGCTTGATAAAGTAATTGAAAGTGTATTTTTGGTATGAAGCTGGTTTTCTGTCACAATTGTAATTGCCCAGATTTTAAAATATCTTGTAATAAAATAAAAATATATGATGGCTAACTTTTCAGACATTACTTTTAAAGAACTCAGTATTCAGATTGTTTTAAAACTGAAAATGTATCCATTAGACCCTCAAGTTGAACTCCTTTTACTATATTAATTACAGGTTATTTTTTGAAGATTAAAACTGTTAATGTTAGGTCTAAGACTGAGCACATCTTTGTTGAAACATGTGTGTTCCATACTTGAAGAAACTTTTTCTTTGTGTAATCATTTAATATAGAGAAGCCTTGCCTAAATGGTAGCAACTGTGTAAGGATGTGTAAGTTTTGTGAATATTTAAGTTTGTGTAGTGGTTCTTTTTGGAATTTACTGTTTTTCTTTCCCTTTTAGTCAGCATCTATATTCTGGCCAAAAATGTCTTTTTTTAATGGCTGTTATCTGGCTTGATGGGAAAGTTAAATCATAAGATTAGTGAAAGAAATGTGCTTGCTAAATTGGTTCTTTGGGAGTACTTCTAAATTTTTCACCCTATAAGAAAATATTGAAATATTGAGACTTTGAGCCGGGCTCGGTGGCTCAGCCTGTAATCTTGTGCCTTGGGAGGCTGAGGTGCGTGAATTGCCTGAGCCCACGGGTTCGAGACCCGCCTGGGCAACTTGGCGAGCCCTCATCTCTACAATAAATCGAATTCTAGCCGGGTGTGGTAGTGCGCGCCTGTAGTTCCAATTACTTTGAAGGCTGAGGCGGAAGGATCGCTGGAGCCCAGCAGGTTGAGGCTGCGGTGGCAGGGAGCGGCCACTGCACTCCAGTCTGGGCGACAGAGTGAGACACCACTCAAAAAAAGAAAAAGAAAAGAAATATTGAGACTTTGAAAATGTGGCTAACAATTTCAGATGGGAATTGTTTAACTGAACAGCTTGAACTTCATGGTGTATATACCTATCTCTTTTGGAAATTTTTTTTTGGTTTTTTTTGGTTTTTTTGCGTCAGAGACTCACTCTGTCACCCATTAGGAGTGCAGTGTCATGCTCACGGCCACTGCGTCCTCGACCTGCTGAGCTCAGGTGATCCTTCCACTTTAGTCTTCCAAGTAGGTGGAAGTTGTGCATGCATGTGCCACCAGTCTGGCTACTTGTTTTACTTATTGTAGAGATGAGGTCTTATCATGTTGCTCAGGCTGCTCTCAAACCCCTGAGCTCAGGCAGTCCTCTCACCTTTGTCTCCCAAAGTGCTGGGATTACAGGCATGAGCCACCTGCCTGGCTTGTTAAATTTATAACAGGCTTCTTGGGGAGGGAGCATTGTTGTTGAGACTTAACATTTATTACTTATTTTTTTTGAGTCGGAATCTCACTCTGTCGCCCAGGCTGGAGTGCGGTGGCATGCTCATGACCACTGCAGCCTTGACCTGCTGGGCCCAGGCGATCCTTCTGCCTCAGCCTTCCAAGTAGCTGGAAATACAGGCGTGTGCCAGCATACCTGGCTAATTTTTATGATTGACTGTAGAGACAAGGTTTCAACAAGTTGCCCTGGCTGGTTTCAAATCCCTGGGCTCAGGCAGCCCTCTCGCCTCACTCAGCCTCCCAAAGTGCTGGGATTAAAACACACAAAATATGAGGAAGTAAACATATACAGTCCACTGTCTCCACCGACAGGACCTGCTTTGGTCAGTTGAGGGCAAAATCAGTGAAAGCTGTTAGCACACAGCAAGAATGGTGGGTCATGGTCCTGTGCCCTTTGTCCTCAAATTCCTACTGTGGCAACTCCTGCTGTTGACATTGACCATTTTCAGACACTTGATTCTTGCTGTCACATAGCCTTCTTACTCTTGGGTCATATGTCATTGAGGAATCATTTGATCTATACCAGTGCTTCTCACCATTGACTGCATATTAGAATCACTTGGGGAATTTTTAAAACTCCCAAAGTAAGGCTGTACTCCATACTAATGAAGTTAGTGTCTTACTAATGAAGTCAGCGTCTGGGGGTTAGATCCAGATAACAGTGTTTTTCAAGGCCTCCCAGTGCACCATTAGAGCTGAGGACTGTTGATCTGTGTTTTCTGTTGAGTATTTACAAACAGAACTCATGCGGTTCATGAAACAAACAGGATCAGCAATGGCCTATTTCTCACTAGGGCAGGTAGAGGAGTGGGGGAAGCAGAATTGTACTCCAGTTAGTAATGTAAATGAAATGGAACAGATGGATATAGTGAAAAGACTTTGCCCACTGCCTCTGTAAAAAGGTAGCCACTGTGGGCTTTTGTGTGCGTGCATATATTCATGTATATGTATTCGGTTTACATTAAATCGCATATATTGCTGGGTACAGGGGCTCGCACCTGTTATCTCAGCACTGTGGAAGGCAGAGTGAGGTGAGAGGATAGCTTGATCCCAGGAGTTCAAGACCAGCCTGGGCAACATTAGTGAAACCTCCCTCGTCTCTTCACAAAAATTAAAAAATTAGGTGTGGTGGCACATACCTGTAGTTCCAGCTACTTGAGAGGCTGAGGCAGAAGGATTGCCTAAGTCCAGGAGTTTGAGACTGGTGGTCTGTGATCATGCCACTGCACTCCAATCTGGGTGACAGAGTGAGACCACAACTCAGAAAAAAAAAGAAAAAAAAAATATATATATATATATATATATATATATAAAAACTTACACAAAGGTATTATACCATATCATTGGTCTAAACATTTCCATATCATTCTTTCAGAACTTACATGTCATGATGATTATGCTCTTAGTGCTCAATTATTATATATTGCCTTTTTATATTACAGAAAGCATATATTATGAAAATTAATAATGCCACACATACTTTTCCAAGTATATCCAGAGTCTACATACTTAGAAGTAAATATTGATAGCTTAAAGGGTATGGGGGGGACCAAGAAAAAGACCCCAGAATTTATTAAAAATTGTGTATTTTGACATGTTTAAACCTTTAAAGTACTCTTCATTTGAGACGTTTTTGCCACAGCTCAAAACAATTTTTGAACTGGTCAGTTGTGATGCCTTTTAGTACTGTCAGGATGAGATCGGGTGAATAGGGAGGGTGGGGCACATAGGTCATGCTGTTTGGGGGCAAAAACTGCTGAACACTCAAGACCATGTGGGCAGGTGCACTTGTACATAATCCATCATGATATGGGCAAATGCGTTGAAAGAATCTAAAAAAAAAAAAGCCAAATACAGCCTCAAAACACTAGCTTTATCTATGCCAAAAGATTCCCAGAACACTTACCTAGTGGGGGATGCCTGTACTGCAAGGGGCCCCTTCAAAGAAACTAATTCTGGGTTATTTTGGGTCCCCTCAAATACTATGTACATTTTAATGTTGCCATCCCAAAAGGGTTGCAGGAATTCATACTCCTATTAGTAATAAAAGTGTTTTTTCCTCAGTCTCCATTAGATTTACTAATCTGATACATAAAAAATAATAGTTTGCACTTCATTGTCCCAGGTTGACCATATTTTCATGTTTCTTTGGCCATTTTGGTTTCTTTTTCTATGTACTATATCACACTCTTTGACTATTCACTGTAAAAAAAGTTGAAAGCTTGTGTTAATTTGGCCACAAACAAAAACTAGCCAAACAACTCTTATTTCAGAAAATCCGCAGTAGGTTGGTTACATCTTATTTTGCAGTGTCTCACACAGAAGTGAAATGAAAGTTCCAGTGAAATCATGTCTCCTTATATTCATCTTTTGGATATTGGTCACAGTTCACAAAAATAATGCCATTAATATCTGGTTGGTATAGAGGTAAATACATATCAATATATTGCTTTTTGGAATTGGATCTGAATCACAAAAGTTTATTTTCATATACTGGTCTGTAGGAAGAAAGTCAAGACCAAAGGAAGTTGGGCGCAGTAGCTCATGCCTGTAATCCTGCACTTTGGGAGGCAGAGGCGAGAGGACTGCCTGAGCTCAGGCGTTCGAGACCAGCCTGAGCAACACGGCGAGATCTTGTCTCTATAATAAAAAAAAATTAGCCAGGTGTGGTGGCACATGCCTGTGGTTCCAGCTACTTGGAAGGCTTGCGGCGGAAGGGTCTCCTGAGCTCAACAGGTCAAGGCTGCAGTCTCTGTGAGTATCCCACTGCATACCAGCCTGGGCGACAGAGTGAGACTCCAACTCAAAAAAAGAAAATCAGGTCGGGTGTGGTGGTTCATGCCTATAACTCCAACACTCTGGGAGGCCAATGTGGGAGAATTGCTTAAGCCTAGGAGTTTGAGGCCAGCATGGCCTTGTCTTTACAAAAAAATAATAATAAGCAGGTGAAGCGACGCATACCTGTGGTCCCAGCTACTTGGCAGGCGGAGGTGAAAGAATCATTTGAACCCAGAAGTTTGAGGCTGTGGGGAGCCATGATTGTGCCACTGCACTCCAGCCTGGGTGACAGAGTGAGATTCCCAATCCCTCCTATCCTCCCAAAAAAGAAAGTTACAGTAAAGTGGGTTCAGAGAAGTCTTGTTTATTGTTTTTGAAGCCAAGTTAAGCTTTAGTCCTTTTATAACAATTTTCATTATTAAAAAGTCATCAGGTACCAGGTAACACTGGTCCCCTTAAAGTGAGGCAATTCTGCTCAAAATCGATTCTTGGGCCCAAATATGTTAGTGGTTGTTGAGAAACCCAGTTAGAATAGTTTGTTATAGGACTTCTTTCGTCCAACATTTGTGGTGCAAACTTGGGTTCTAACCAAATTTTTTTTTGAGAAAGTATTTGACAGTTCAGGGCCTCCCTCTGGACCCCTATCTCCTGTCTCTGATGGCCCACCAGGCAGGAACTTATACTTAATCAGGTCCCTAATCAGGTTCCTACAATTTTCACCAAGAAAGCCATTGCCTTCATATACTTTTTAGTACCTGAAGGATGTGTTTTATCTTTTTTTTTTTTTTTTTGAGTAGGAGTCTCACTCTGTCACCCAGGCTGGAATGTAGTGGCATGCTCAAGGCCACCGCATCCTCGGCCTGCCAGGCTCAGGCAATCCTTCTGCCTCAGCCTTCCAAATAGCTGGAAATAAAACAGGCACACACCGCTGTGCCTGGCTAATTTTTTGATTTATTGTAGAGATGAGGTCTCACCAAGTTGCCCGGGCTGGTCTTGAACCCAGGCAATCCTCTTGCCTCTGCCTCCCAAAGTGTTGGGATTATAGGTGTGAGCCATCGTGCCCAGCTGTATTTTATTTTTTTAATCTACAGTCCAGAACCCTGGCATTTCAGGAGATGGACAGAGGATTCATTTGTGAATCAACAGTATTTATCAGAAATTTGGAGAAACCTTGGCCAGGAGTGGTCACTCCAGCCTGAGTGAAATTCTGACTCAAAAAAGGAAGGATGGAAGGAAGGAAGGGAAGAAAGGTGGAGAAACTTGATGTTTAAGGGAGACACAGAATCCTGTGCTTTCCAAAATAGACTAATTATCAGACTCTCCAGGTAACTTGAAAATTCTGGACCCTGGTCCCCTGTGCTAGATGTTCTGAATCAGTGGGCCTCAGTAGGGCCAGGAATCTGTGCTTTTAGAACAGCCAGATAATCTAAATTACTGTATACAGTCACTCCTAGTCCAAGCTCTGTATGTCCTGGCCGTTACTTAGGAGAGATTATCTAAAAGCTAAATATCTGGATTTCATTATTTTTGCTTCCTATAGAAACCAGACTTCAAGGAGCATACAGCCATTCTTGTCAACACGAGACATTGATTTATAGACAATTTCTATACTTTTCATAAAACTGGCTAAGAGCATCAACCAGTATTTATATGAGAATCCATGTCCATTTTTTTGGAGTTGGGATCTCACTCTGTCATCCAGCACAATCACAGCTCACCGAAGCTTCAAGCTCCTGGGCTCACGCAAACCTTCCACCTTAGCCTCTGAGTAGCTGGGACTACCCGAGTAGCCACCGTGCCTGGCTATTTAAAAAAAAAAAAATTTTGTAGAGACAAGGTCTTGCTGTGTTGCCCAGGCTGGTCTTGAACTCCTGGACTGAAGCAGTCCTCCCTCCTCAGCCTCCCAAAGTGCTTAGATTACAGGCAGGAGCCACTGAGTCTGGCCCATGTCCATTCTTTATTGCAAAAATGCCTGGTGGAGTTGACTTTTCAGATGTACCTGTGTGTGTAAAAGCTGTGTGTATAAAGGGTATTTGTTCCCTGGCCTTCTGGGAATCTCACAGATAAATTAGACCTCTTTGGAAACATTCCATTTCAAAAGGCCTGCTGTATCTATCTCTGCCTACTGATTAATTTAAAACTTCACTTTAAAGTGTTAAATTCTGTTTTAATGTCTAGTCTACACTGTGTCTCTAAAATTGTTTTTAAAGTGTTTATAATCACATCTACTAATATATAGTATAATCAGCCCTGTTCTAGGTACTGAAACTTTGAACTCTCCAAAGTGTTCCACCAGCCAATATATTTTTAAAAACCCCAAAAAACAGAAATTTCAGTTTTTGTTTGCAGGAGTAACAGACTTGGTGGAGTTCGCTTTCCAAGTGTCCAGCGCCAGCATAGGGTCCAACATATAACATATGCTCAGTAAATATTTGCTAAAACGGTAAATCAACAAGGAAATGAGTGACTGAACGAATGAATCAGCGAGGTCTGGCAGGAACCTATGGACAGGAGTAGTCCCAGATTCTCACCCTCCCGCCAGCTCTGGGGGAGCCAGGGGGCCGGGCCGGGCCGGGCCGGGGCGGGGCGTCCGCGAAGTCCCGCCCACGCGGGGGCGGGGCCTGCGGCGCGCGGGAAGCGGCGCGCGCGGCGCGGGAGGTGACGGCGCCGCTGAGTGACCGCGTCCTTGCAGGTACGGCTTCCCCAGGCTGGCCCCCGCGGCCCCGCGGTTCTCCTGGCCGGTCCGGGCCAGGGCAAAAGATGCTCACTGAGGGGTGCTCACTGAGAGGTGCTCACTGTGACCCGGGATAGCTTCGGAGCGGCGCGCCGGCCCCTGCCCAGCCGGCCTCTTCCCGCCAGCCCCGGGCCTGGCTTCTCGGACCCAGCGCCTGGTCCCTGGAAAGGGAGGCCTCCTCTCGTCCCAGTCCTCTCGCCCGTGCGGCCCCCCTTCCTCCTGTGGCCCCCTTCCCCGTGAGACTCACTCTTCCGGAAGGCCCCTCCCCCAGGAAGCCCCTCCCTCGACTCTCTCGGCGCGCCCCCCATCCCCCACGGTGCAGCCTGCCCGTGTCCCTAGGTTGCCTCTACCTAGATATTTCGTGTTGCTTTTCCGGATTTAGCAGGAGACTTATAATATGGCTCAACCAAGCATTAGGTGGAGCTTTCAAGATATTAAGGCCAGATAGCAACACGAACATCCTTTTCCAGTGCAGCGTGCGTTTTATTTATTTATTTTTTGAGTTGGGAGTCTCACTCCGTCGCTCAGGCTGGAGTGCAGTGGCACACTCACGGCCATCCCAGCGTCGACCTGCTGGGCTCAAGCGATCCTTCCACCTCAACCTTCCAAGTGGCGGGAACTATAGGTTCGCGCTACCACGCCCAGGTAATTTTTTGATTTATTGTAGAGATGAGGTCTCGCTAAGTTGGCCAGGCTGTTCTTGAACCTGTGGACTCAGGCAATCCCTCATCTGCTTCCCAAAATGCTGGGATTACAGGCTTGAGCCACCGCGCCTGGCCAGCGTGCGTTTTAAATGGTTAGCAGGGTTCCTGGCTCATGGTAAGAGTTCAGGGACCCTTTGCTGCTGTAATACTGTTATTTAATTCATTACCAGCATCTTGCAGCTTTCCTCTGCCTTTGGGAAAAGATCACTGCCCAAGGAACGTTTTGCCTTTGGAGACGCAGGAGAATGAAAGTCATCACGTGCGAAATAGCCTGGCACAACAAGGAGCCTGTGTACAGCCTGGACTTCCAGCATGCAACAGCCGGGAGGATCCACAGACTAGCGTCTGCAGGCGTGGACACAGCTGTCAGGGTAAACTGAAGCAGAGATAGACACTGGGAAGCACTGCCTGAAGCAGCAGTTTTCTTTGATTTAAAACTAATGCCAATGCACTACTTAGCCATCTAGCTCAGAATGCTAACTCCTCGGGGTCTCAGGTGAACAATAAAAGTAAAAGAGAGCTACTTTCTTTTTCTTAAAATTTTTTTACTTTTTGTAGCGATGAGGTCTGTCAATGTTGCTTAGGTGGTCTTGAACTCCTGGGCTCAAGCGATCCTCCTGCTTCAGCCTCCCAAAGTGGTGGGATTACAGGCATGCCTGGCCCCTTATATTTGAGTCACATTCCCTAGGTTGTTATAACTGGATGTCGGTTTTAGGATTTTGGTCTGGGTTCCTATTGGGTAACAGCTTTAGAAAGAAGTAGAAAGGAGGACAGCAGACATTTATGCTTTAGACAGGAGAGTTTCCTTCATTTTACATTTCAAGAGAAAACTAAATTTTTTTTCCTGAAAACAAGCACAGAATTGTTTTAGTACATATAGTACAATAGGGTTCACTCTGTTTTTTGAATGAATGTTTTGATATCAACAGATCTGGAAGGTAGAAAAAGGGCCAGATGGAAAAGCCATTGTGGAATTTTTGTCCAATCTTGCTCGTCATACGAAAGCTGTCAATGTCGTGCGTTTTTCTCCATCTGGGGAGATTTTAGCATCAGGAGGAGATGGTGAGTATTGCTGTACTTCAGAAATTCTTTTTTTTTTTAATTTTAAAAAATGTTTAATAGGAGAGACAAGGTCTTGCAGTGATGCGTAGGCTGGTCTTGAACTGAGCTCCAGCAATCCTGCTTCAGCCTCTCAGAGTGCTAGGATTACAGGTGTGAGCCATCACGCCCAGCCCAGAAATTCTTTAGAAACCAGATGCTTATGTGTCTTATGTCAAGTAGTGGCATTTGAGCTGGATATACTTTTTTATTTTAGGTGTGGCTGACCCTGTCAATCTGTCATTTAGATAGCTTAGTAAAATAATGTTCTAGGAGTGTGTCAGAGTGATGGGATGGAGGGCAGCAAGGTTAAACCGAGAAGATCCCTTGGGAAAGCAGCTTCGTTCTCACTTGCTCTCACCAGGCTACTTTGGAAACAAGCAGAAAAGGTGCTTGCCATTCTGTCAGAGCACCAAGCGACTGCTCTGGCTTTGTTTGATTGTTAGTTTAATATCAGTGGTGATCAGAGTTAGTATGCTGTGTTTAATTAATTAATTAATTGACTTATAATTAATTAATTGACCTTAATTACAAAGCCATTTATTAAAGATATTCAATAATCTTATCTTTTATCAATTAATTAATATCTTATTTTTTATTTGAGTCGGAGTCTCCCTCTGTCACCCAGACTGGAATGCAGTAGCACTCTCACAGCTACCATAGCCTCTACCTGCTGGGCTCAGGCAGTCCTTCTTCCTCAGCTTTCTAAGTACCTGGAACCGTAGGTGCACACGACTATGCCCAGCTAATTTTTAAAAATTTGTTGTAGGCTGGGCTTGGTGGCTCAGCCTATAATCCCAGCACTTTGGGAGGCTGAGGCAAGTGGATTGCCTAAGTCTGCAGGTTCAAGACCAGCCCAGACAACTTGGTGAGACTGCTCTATAATAAATAAAAAAATTAGCTGGGCTTGGTAGCATGTGCCTGTAGTTCCAGCTACTTGAAGGACTGAGGTAGAAGGATTGCCAGAGCCCAGCAGGTCGACGTTGGCGTGGCCATGAGTGTGCCACTGCACTCCAGCCTGAGTGATAGAGTGAGGCTCCAACTGAAAAAAAAAAATTTATTGTAGAGTCAAGGTCTCGCCAAGTTTCCCAGGCTGGTCTTGAACCCCTGGGCTCAGTCTTTTCGCCTTGGCCTCCCAAAGTGCTGGGATTATAGGCGTGAACCACCGCTCCTGACTTAATCAGTATCTTTAATGAATGGCCAAGTACAAAATAAAACAAGTGTCACGTTTTGTTTGCTGTAGGAGGAAAAGAGACCTGGTTGAGTGCAGCACCATGATGCCAACCCAGAGTGTATGTGTATGTGCATGTTTGTAGAGGGAAAGCCAGGGAGTGGGAGAGTCACTTGGGAGTAGTCACAGGCTGCCTTCCCTGAGGTTGTATGTGACAGCCCTCATTTTGCAAAGTCATTTGGTTTTGGAGGTCCAGAATCCTCTGTTAGCATGTTGAGAGTGTTCATTGTCAGGCCCGATGTCATCTTAACTAAGCTCCCAGACTAATGTGTGCAACCCGGATTCCAGTTCATTAGAACGGGAATATATATGTTCATACAACCCACTCATTCACTCTCCTGCTGTGGACTTTCCTAAAAGGGAAGCCAAGTGATGGTCAGGATGTCACATGGAGTATAGAGTCAGAACATGGGGAGTGAGAGGTATCAGACAAGTGACATCAGGCCAAGATTTCTGATGTGTCTGTAATGATAATAATGATAATGATAATATGTGTCTGTAATGATAATAATGATAAAGATAATAAGAGCCAGCATTTACATGGGGCTCACTGTGTGCTAGCCATCCTGTTGTAAGTGCTTTATGCATATTGACCCATGTCATCCTCACAACAGCCCTAGGTATCCTATTATTATACCCATTTTATAGGTGAGGTACAGAGGCAACAAGATGTCAAGCGGCTTGCTGAAGGTTACTCAGCTAGGAATAATTGGCCAACCCTTGCATTGGTGGCTCTTTGCTGTTCTTTTATTTTATTTTCCTATTCAGCTATCTATAGGCTATACCTTTAGGTTTGTTAATATAGCCGGTCACTTTAGAGTGGCATTTTGCTGACCTCGGGACCTTTCTGTTCAAGGTGACTTTGCATAACTCTGAACTGTTATGAATTTTACTTTGGAATTTTTGTTCAGATGGCAAACCTACATTTCCTGTTCAAATTCTTAGAAGTAAATCATCATGGCCACAGTGCCATTGGGAAAGATACATGTTGTGTAGTAGCCTAAAAAACCAGAAATGAAGGGGCATGCATTGAAGCATGACTTGTTTTAATTGAGTTACTTCACAGATGCTGTCATCCTGCTGTGGAAGGTGAATGATAGCAAGGAGCCAGAACAGATTGCTTTTCAGGATGAGGATGAGGCTCAGCTGAACAAGGAGAATTGGACTGTTATAAAAACTCTGAGGTAACTTGGGAGGGATTATGGGACAGATTGCTTTTTCCAGTCTGAATGCATTAAATGGAACATGCTGTTTGAATTTTATATCTAACTTGTACTTATATGATAGTCATAGACAATAATTTTAAAGGGTAAAAACATAATTAAAGTGAATTTTCTTAGTTTCTGTTATAACATTTTTCTTAGCAAAAATGAATCAATTTTGAAGATATAAATATCCTTGAAAGTAGTTGTTTATAGCTACAGCTAATATAGTTCCAGTGGAAATTTCTGGAATTCCATTTTAATGCATGGCTCCTGAGTTTGCCTTTAAATTTTTGATAAGTTTTTCCTTTTTGAGTCAATAATTATTTTTTTTCTTCTTTGCCTTTGCATCCTAGGGGCCACTTAGAAGATGTATATGATATCTGCTGGGCAACTGATGGGAATTTAATGGCTTCTGCTTCTGTGGATAACACAGCCATCATATGGGATGTCAGTAAAGGTAAATGGTATGTTTTTGTTATTATCAGTGGGAAGGAATGTTATAAGTGTCTAAAAAGTCTAACCTAGCCGGGCTCGGTGGCTCAGCCTATAATCCCATGCCTTTGGGAGGCTGAGGTGAGTGGATTGCCTGAGCCCACGGGTTCGAGACCCGCCTCGGCAACTTGGCGAGACCTCATCTCTACAATAAATCAAAAATTAGCTGGGCATGGTAGCGCGCGCCTGTAGTTCCAGCTACTTGGAAGGCTGAGGTGGAAGGATCACCGGAGCCCAGCAGGTCAAGGCTACAGTGGCTGGGAGCGGCCACTGCACTCCAGTCTGGGCGACAGAGTGAGACTCCAACTCAAAAAAAAAAAAAAAAGCCTAACCTACTTTAATTTTAAAAGCAAAACAAAAATTTTCTTTAGTGAACTATAATATAAAATAGGTGGTTGGCTCAACAGGATAGGGATTAGTCCCATGTGCCATGGATACAGCTCAGTTTTTAGGGCCCCTGTCCAAATGTGAGAGGCTTCGCAGCCCAGTTGTGAGTCACTGGTGTTCAAGCTAGGCAAATCCATATGCCTGGGGGTGCAGACTCGATAACAGGCCTATTCCCTGCTTTCAGGGAGCTTAGGATCTTGAGAAGGTTATCAGGTCATTTATAGCTAATGGGTCATTGTGTGCTGGGTGCTAGAGATCAAAGAAAGCCAGGACCTGTTCTCTAAAATAGAAGGGAAATGCCAAAAGCCAGCCCTGGCTAATTCCTAACCATTTTTATCCCCACAGCCCTTTACTCAAACTTTCAGTTTTCTCCCAGACCTCTTTTTGCTAATCCTTCTATAGCCCGGGTTGAGAATCAGGAGGTGAAGATAGTGTCCAAGCCCCCAGCTGTATTCTTGCATCAGTTCAGTTTTCATCTGCTCAAAAAATCTCTGCTCTTTTTAGTTTTTGCCATCCAGCTAAGGCATCCTCTGTCCTGTCTGGTCTCTGCCATACTCTTTCTAATCAGACCTCAGCATTCTGGCAAAGCGGATGGTCGGCATTCCTGTCTTCCTGTCTACCCCCCCATCTGGCTGTTGTCCAGTTTCAGTGTCTGTACGGATAGTCCATCCAGCCCTCCCTTAAGCCAGTTGTAGTGACTTTGAATATGCCATTGTTCTGGGCACCATTGCAGGTGCTGGAAATAACAGAAATGAAATGGTTGCGTTCTAGTGGGGCCATCAGACAAAAAGTGAGGTGGTGATGGGTGCCGTAAAGGGGCTATCAGGGCAAGCTTCTCTGAGCATTTGGCATTTGAACAGAGACTTGAGTGAGTCAGGGAGCAAACTGTGTACATTATTTAGGGAAAGAGTTTTCCAACCTGTGGGAATAGCAGGTGCAGAGGCCCTATGGCAGGAGTAGCTTGCCTTGTCCCATGAAGAGGAAGGAATGGAATACTAAGGGGGTGGACCGGGAGTATCTGAGGTTGGGAAGAGGTAAGGGGCCAGGTCACATAGGGTTGTGGTCCGTGGAAGGGATTTCAGATTTTATTCTAAGTATGACAGGATGCTGCTGACTTTGAACAGTCGAGTAATGTGATTTTATTTATGCTTTAAAAAGATGACTCTGGGTGCCATGTGAATAGGAAAATAAATGAGATAGCAAGGGGAACCTGTTAGTGGTGTAACAGTAATTGAGGAGAAGGGACAATGGCTTGGGTTCGTGTGGTAGTGATGGAAGGAGTGAAGAAGGGCTTATTTGGAATATAATTTGAAGAGAGAACTGATAGGATTTGCCAGTAGATTGGCTGTAACTCCAAGCTTTTTGGCAACCAGGTTAATATTGGTGCCATATCCTGAAATTAGGAACACTATGGAGAAGAGCAGTTTTGTCAGGGAGTCTGGAAATCAAGGCCACATTTGAGACCTCTGTCATTTTAACTGCTCTGTCAGTGTCAACCTCAGCCAGATGTCCCACTCTGTCACCAAAACTGCTTCTCCTTCAGTTTTCTGAATAGTTTTATTCCTTCTCATGTCCTTATTATTATGAGTTGGAGTCTCACCTGTAATCCTGTGCTTTGGGAGGCTGAGGTGAGTGGATTGCCTGAGCCTGCGGGTTCGAGACCCGCCTGGGCAACTTGGCCAGACCTCATCTCTACAATAAATCAAAAAATTATCCGGATGTGTGCGCCTGTGGTTCCAGCTACTCGGAAGGCTGAGGCGGAAGGATTGCCGGAGCCCAGCAGGTCGAGACTGCGATGGCCTGGAGCGGTCACTGCACTCCAGTCTGGGTGACAGAGTGAGACTCCAACTCAAAAAAAAAAACAACAAAAACCTGCGACTCTGCAGGCTGGGCCACTACAAATTCATCCTTGTCAACCTCAGTGACCTCCACCCCCTTTCACTTGTCATGGTCAAATGCTTCTCCCCTTTCCCCAGTAGCTACTTCAAACCTATACAAGTCTCTTGAAGCCCATTTCTCAGCCCCCTGCCACCTTAATCCCAGCAGAGTTCCCAAAAAGAGTTTCAAGGAGAGAGTGATGCCATCACATGGAGCAGGGAGGGCAGGGGAGGTTGGCTGATGCGTCAGTGTTGAGTTTTATATATGTAGGTCACTGGCAGCTTAAGAACTGGCAGTGTTCATGGGTGGTGGGGAGTGGAGCTTCAGTTGCAGGGGGCTGAGTGAGTGGGTGGTGAGGAGACTGGAAAAGTGAGTTAGGCCACTTGTTAGAGGGAAGAGTTTTGTGTTTTACTTTTTCAGACTGGCCAAGTCTTCATAACCTTCACCTCTTTATTTATTTATTTTGACTCAGGATCTCAATCTGTCTCCTAGGCCAGAGTGCAGTGGCACACTCATGGCCCACTGCAGCGTTGACCTCCTGGGCTTAGGTGATCCTTCTGTCTCAGCCTACCAAGAAGCTGGGACTACAGGCGCGTGCCACCATGCCTGGCTAATTTTTTGATTATTTGTAGAGACAAGGTTTTGCTATGTTGCCTAGGCCAGTCTTGAACTTCTGGACTCAAGAAATCCTCCCACCTCAGCCTCCCAAATTACTAGGATCATAGGTATGAGCCATCACACCTGGCCCCTTCTCTTTTTAGACAGGTCATCTCTGTGCTGCTGCCTTTATCTACTAAATAGTTTCCCCAAATTCCTTTTCCATCCCTTTTAACATTGCTCTGGTTCAAGCCTTCCTCATATCTTTCCTGGTCTACTCTGTCATCTCCTAACTAGTGGCTCTTTTTGTCATCTTTTCTAAAATTTCATCTTTCTTCCTTCCTTTCTTTTTTCCTTTCCTTTCCTTCCTTCCTTCCTTCCTTCCTTCCTTCCTTCCTTCCTTCCTTCCTTCCTTCCTTCCCTTCCTTCCCTTCCTTCCCTTCGTTCCTTTCCTTTCTTTCCTTTCTTCCTTTCTTTTCTTTCTGTCAGAGTCTCACTCTGTCACTCAGGCTGGAGTGCAGTGGCACGCTCATGGCTACCACAGCCTCGGCTTGCTGGACTCAGGCGATTCTTTTGCCTCAGCCTTCCAGTTAGCTTGCTCATGGCTACTGCAGCCTCTACCTGCTGGGCTCAGGGATTCTTCCACCTCAGCCTCCCAAGTAGCTGGAACCACAGGCATGCAGCACCATACCTGGCTAATTTTTTTTTTTTTTATTGTAGAGACGATGTCTTGCCAAGTTTCCCAGGCTGATCTTAAATCCCTGGGCTCAGGTAATCCTCTCGCCTCTGCCTCTCAAAGTTTTGGGATATGGGTGTGAGTCACCATGCCTGGCCGGGTTTTTTAAATTGTGGAGATGAAGTCTCTACATGTTGCCCAGGCTGGTCTCTAACTCTTGGGCTTAGACAATCCTCTCGCCTTGGTCTCCTGAAGTGCTGGGATTACAGCTGTGAGCCACCTCATCTAGCCTGAGTTTCATCTTTAAAATGCAGATTGCTTCTCAGTTTAGAGTTCCTCTTAAGCCACACCTTGAATACCCAGAGGCTGTCCCTTTTATACAAGGGTACCTGTCCTATTTTTCCTTTTTTCCTTATCTTGCCATTCCTGGCCCTCTACCTTACCCGTTAGCAGTTCTTAGTTACTTCTCACTGCTCCATAAGGGCTAAACTAAGCTGTCTTTTCTCCTGTAGTTTTCCTCAGATACCCTTCTTTCCCCCTCCATCGATTCTCTGTATCCTGCCTGACCTGAGAACTGTATTTAGATCTTCTTTGACCCCTACCTCTGCCTTGTTGGCTGCCCCTTTCCGATCCATATTGTATGATGTGACACACATTAACTCACCTGTTTTGTGTCTGTCCTGTCTGTGAGCTCCCTGAGGGGTGGCACTGTGTGAAGTCAACCTTTGTGTCACCAGAGCCTGACACAGGGTTTGGTTCAGAGCCTCTCAGGTACTGCTGCCTGTTGAATGATGAATGGTATAAAGAGGATAATGTTTAAGTTGCAATTTATGCCATTTGTGCTTGAGTAAATTTTGATAATCCTGTTGTGTGCTTTTTTTGTAGGACAAAAGATTTCAATTTTTAATGAACACAAAAGTTATGTACAAGGAGTAACGTGGGATCCTTTGGGTCAATATGTTGCTACTCTGAGCTGTGACAGGTACGTTACTATTTGGCAAGTTACCTTTGTATTTACTTAGAATTTTCTGCAGAGTTATTTTTATCACAACTTAACCAGGATTTGTCATAGTCTAGCTTTGGTGCTTTTGTTCTTTTTTTCATGCTACTTATTCTTACAACATAATAAGAAATTGAAAACTAATTAGGGCAAGCGCCTTATACAAAGTTAGAACTTAGTACATCTTTATTGAATGGGTGAGTAAATGTAGAAGAGCTTCTAATATTAAATAAACTTAGGATTACATTTAATTTTATGGGAGACTTAAGGAAAAAACCCTTTTATAAATGTGAGTTAATCAGAAGATGTAGAGAGAGTTGGACTATTTATTTTAGTTTTTTATTATGGTTTATTGATGCAGTGATTTTAATGACTTTAAATTTATATAAAAATAACTAGCTGGGCGCAGTGGCTCATGCCTATAATCCCAGCACTTTGGGGTGCGGAGGCGAGAGGTTTGCCTGAGCTCAGGGGCTCAAGACCTGGGAAACTTGGCTAGACCTCGTCTCTACAATAAAAATAAATAAATAAACTGGGTGTGGTGGCATGTACCTGTAGTTCCAGCTACTTGGAAGGCTGAGGTAGAAGGATTTCCTGAGTCCTGCAGGTTGAGGCTGTGGTGGCCGTGAACAGGCCACTGCACTCTAGCCTGGGTGACAGAGTGAGGCTCTGACTCAAAAAAATATATATAAGGTATGTCTGTCCTTTCTGAAATGAAATTTTTCTCTGTGTTTACTGATATAATCGCATTAATTATGTTCTTGGAACAAAGAATTAAAATCAAATCAGGAGTGCCAGATATATTATTTAATAGTTAGATTAGTCCTTTTGACGATTTATCCAACTACTTTTTTTTTGAGTCGTAGTCTCACTCTGTCACCCAGACTGGAGTGCAGTGGCATGCTCACGGCCATCTCAGCCTCGACCCGCTGGACTGAGGTGATCCTTATGCCTCAGCCTTTCAAGTAGCTGGAACTATAGGTGCGCGCCACCATGCCTGGCTAATTTTTTGATTTATTGTACAATGAGATCTCACCAAGTTGCCCAGGCTGATCTCGAACCCCTGGGCTCAGGCAATCCTCTGTCTCTGCCTCCCAAAGTGCTGGGATTACAGGCTTGAGCCACCAGTGCCTGGTTTATCCAACTACTTTTAATTAAAACAAATTGAATTTTATATGGTCCTGGAATAAAAACAACATGGAAGAGTTAGTTTTTGTTTTGTTTTTTTTTTTTAGTTGGAGTCTCACTCTTTCACCCAGACTGGAGTGCAGTGGCCGCTCCCAGCCACCGCAGCCTCAACCTGCTGGGCTCTGGCGATCCTTCCGCCTCAGCCTTCCAAGTAGCTGGAACTACAGGCGCGTGCTACCACGCCTGGCTCATTTTGATTTATTGTAGAGATGAAGTCTTGCCAAGTTGCCCAGGTGGGTCTCGAACCCGCGGGCTCAGGTAATCCACTCACCTCAGCCTCCCAAAGGCGCAGAATTACAGGCTGAGCCACTGAGCCTGGCTTGTTTTTTTGTTTTTTTTTAATGGAATTTCCTGTTATATTCTACATATCATTTATTTTCTGATATGTGTGTTTTATTCGGGCAATCAGGAGTAAAACAATCTCACTAGCTAGTGGAGGTAAGATGACTTATTAACAAACAAATTTATCTGCTGGTGTTCTTCTTACTCTTGTAAATCCTTGCGACTGAGACTGTTTACAAAATACACTTCCCTGCAGTCATACAAAGTACCACTGGACAAAATGTCCAAGACCTGAAAAATAAGGCTGGACCTAAAATATGTCATATTTGAGAAGCTGAAACATTCAATGAAAAATTAAAAGAAAATAATGATCACAAATAATAGATTGTTTCTATTTGTGAAACAATCTATAAATGAAAGGTAATTCATGACTAGAAGTGGTAAGTAAGACTTGTGTTTTCTCTTTAGGGTGCTGCGGGTATACAGCACACAGAAGAAACGTGTGGCTTTTAATGTTTCGAAGATGCTGTCTGGAATAGGAGCTGAAGGAGAGGTACAAAATGTTTTGCCATTCCCTTTCAGCAGTACTTTATTATTGTTATTTTAGATTTTGCTTTCTTTTTTCTTACTAAATCTTTTTATTTTGCAAATATGGTCACATCTCAATTTTGATGCAAGGTTTTCATCAGAAATAGTTGTTCTATATTTAAATTTCATGAAGTTGAATAAGTTGTTCCCAACTTCAGAGGTTTTCCAATAACCGACTTGAGTATTAGTTTTTAAACTAAAATTAAATAATACTTAAAAGTAATTTTTTTAGTAATATGTCACATTTCAAGGACTTGGAAGCCATGTGTGGCTGGTTAGTGGGGAGTGCATTGGATATCACATGTGGCTACTGTGGATAGATGACTGCAATGTCCTCTGTGATGGTTAATTTTATGCATCAATTTGAATGGGCAATGGGGTGCCAAGATTAAATATTGGTTCTGGGTATGTCTGTGAGGTGTTTCTAGATGAGGTGAACTTTTGAATCAGTGGACTCAGTAAAGTAGATTGACCTCCCATGTGGGTGGGCATCATCTACTCCACTGAAGGCCTGAGTAGAACAAAAGGTAGAGGAAGGAGGAATTTGCCCTTTTTTTTCCTTCCTCACTGCTTGAACTGAGACTTCTCCCCTCATCTTCTCTTGCTGTCAGACAAGGATTTACAGCATCAGCTCCTTGGTTCTTAGGCCTTTAGATTTGGACTGAACCACACCACCAGCTTTCCTAGGTCTCCCACTGGCAGACAGCAGATTGTGGGACTTCTTACCTCTGTAATCCTGTGATCCAATTCCTCATAATGAATCTTTAATATATACATATATATCCTACTGGTTCTGTTTTTCTGGGGAACCCTGACTAACAAAACCTTTCACCACATATTCCCTTCTTCACGGAGCACCCAGGCTGATGGTTAAAACATGGAAACCCAATCACATCATCCTTGCTTAGAGCCTCTAGGGCCTTCCATGATATTTTGTAAACTCCAGTGAGTCAAGTGGTGTTATAGCCTGACCAGATTCTTATACCCACTGCCCAGAAAAACTGAGACTGATGCAGCTGTTGCAATACAGAAAGAGTTCAATATCGCAAAGCAGCTGAGCAAGGAGGATGGGAGATATTTCTCAAATCTACCTCACAGTACTGGACTTAGGAAGTCATGAGCTCCTCCCATATCCTTGCATCTAAGACATTGACTTCAAGGGCCTGACACCTGAACTATACAGTAAGGCTTCCTCTTGACTTAGTGTGTGGGCTGGTCTGTAGGGAAATTAGGACATTGGGGGCCAGTGGAGAGCTGGTGATGGAAGACAGTGGTTGCCAACCCTGGCTGCACTGTGAAATCACCTGGGAAGCATTAAAAATGAGTACCTGGACCTCACCCCAGTGGTGTAAATCACTTGGCTTGAGGTCGACAGGGCATCCGTGATTCCCAGGTATAGTGAGGGTCATCACTACTCATCTTGGAAGATATCTGCAATAGGCAACAGAAGGGAGGTGGGTCTGAGCATTGAATCTGGCTGACAGCAGGTGGTATATCATCTTTGCAGTGGGGGATTCTGGTAGTAGGAGCAGAGACCCAGCCAAAGGGCTGGTATTTAGGAACAGGGGAACTTTGATCTTTGAAAGAACTGGCAAATGAAGGAAGGACTCCTGGAAGAGTCAAGACTCCTGAGACAGGCACTTAGGTAAAAGGAAACAAGCCAGTTACTGGAACAGCAAAGGGACTTAGTACAAATCCAGTCTGAGGGTGTCAGGGGAGAGCATTGTGGACCGGGAGCTGACTGGTGCTGAGTGTTTACATCTGTGTAGTCAGGAGAGTAACTGTTCCATGCAGGTGTTCAAGAAATGCTTGAAAAGATTGTATGATTACCAGTTGAATAATCCACTATTTTCTTTTTTAAAAAAATGTACATTCAGTTGGAAATTCTAAATGTAAGCATGCAGGTAAAAAGCAAGGTCTCCTACTCATTTTTCCACCATCTCTTCAGTCTTACTCACCAGACAAACCGCTGTTGACATTGTGGTGTATGTTCTCACAGAGTTTTTAAAAGTAATTGTGGAAACACAAAGCACACACAGCTTTAGTTAACAAAAATGCATGATTGATGACTCTTGCAGTATTGCATGATT